GTACAAATTCTCGCCCATATAAATATTGATGGAATTTTTTTAATGCGAAAACAATCGCCAAAGCCTCTTTTTCTATTTAGCTGTAATTTATTTCTGCGGGCGTAAGAGCTCGCGAAGCGTACGCGACTGGGCGCTCGCGGCCGGCCCGCTGCTGCGCCAGCACCGCTCCTACCCCGCGCGAGCTGGCGTCACACGTCACCACCACTGGCAGCCGCGTGTCATAATGATCTAACACCTCAGCTTTACTTAATAATAATTTCACATTCTGAAACGCTTGCTTTTGCTCTTTCCCCCCAAAACCAATGCCTACCTTTTTTTAAAAGTGTGTAAAATGGATTCAGGTAAAAACTTAAATTCTTTATAAATCTACAATAAAAATTAACCATTCCTAAAAATGACCGCAATTCGGATGCGTCATTAGGTTCACGTAAATTTAAAATGGCTTTTATCTTTTCGTTATCAACTTTTATACCGTCTTTGCTTACAATGTAACCGAGATATTTTACTTCGTTCGCAAAAAATACGCATTTTTGTTTCTTAATTTTAAACCCGTTTTGGCTTAACCTTAACAGTACCTTACGCAATGTATCTAGGTGATCTTTTTCATATACACTATAAATCAAAATATCGTCTAAGAACACCACTGTGTTAGATATATCCTTCAAAAGATTTATCATAATTCTTTGAAAAATACCGGGACTGGAAGCCAAACCGTAAACTAGACGATTGTACATATAAAGCCCCCTATGTGTATTTATTACCGTGTACTTTTTTGACCCATCTAATTCTATTTGGTTGTAGGCCTGGGACAAGTCTAACTTACTGAACCAATTACAACCGCTAAGATTCGATAGTAAATCTTCAATTTTGGGAACCGGAAATGTATCCACCAGTAAGACACGGTTATGTTACCTTCCAGTCCAGCTCGGCATCGACCCGCTCGCGCATCGCGTACGGCACCGGCCGCGCGCGACAGAACACCGGCGCGGCGCCGGCCCGGACGCGCAGCGTTGCTTGCCCACCGCTAAACCGCCCCAGACCGCCATCGAATAAGTGTTTAAATCTGTCGAATAACATGTTTAAACTTTCCATTTTATCACAGTTTTGTGTACAACTTATTCTATTTACATGAAATTTTGGGATATCAATCCATTGCCTTCCCAACAATATGGTTGTCCCATTTTCTATTACATACAAATCAAGTATTTTACATTTACCGTTGTATTGTACTGGGGCCTCTATATAACCGGCTGGCTTAACTTTACTGCCGTCATAAAATGAAAGTGTTAATTTACAGGGTAACAATGCCAAATGTTTAAATATTTCTATATACAAATTATAACTTATACAAGATAATGCTGAGCCTGTGTCAATCTCCATTAATAATACATTATTGTCAACACTAATAGGAATGCTAACCGGCTTGTAGTCCCTCAAAGACATTTGGAACATTGGATGCTCGTTTTCTTCGCCCTCGCTTGCCGATGCCGGTGCGGAGGGGTCCTCCTCCCCCTCAGCTACGTGGTGGGCGCGCTAATGACGCACGGAGCCTTGCCAGTGCCGCACGCCGGAGCCAGTGCCTCTGCCGTGCGCTGAACCGCGAATGCCAGTTGATCCCGTACTCGAGGTCCACACACGCCTGTTGGTACTTTTATTTTGATGTCTCTCACCGAACGAGCACACCCGTTTTAAATGTCCAATTTTGCCACAAATATCACATTTGTAGTAACGATACGGACATTGACGCCCAATATGGCGGGAACTGCCACACGTTGTACAGGGACTCATTTGCATCCTATTCACTTCGGTCACTTGATAGTCTGCCGTGCTCATCCTTTGTCGCTCCTGTTTTACTACCCTTGTTAAATTTTCGTTCGCAATAGTGGTAACAGAGGTGCTCGCGCCGCGGCCCGTGCAATCTACCACTGATGAGTCACGCTGGGCTGCTTCCATTGACGTAGCTAATTTCACTGCGCCCGTCCAAGTTAAAGAATCCTCAGCAAACAGTCGTTGACGCATCATATCACTGCGTAGACCGCACACAAATTGATCTCTCATATTTTCTTCCAAAGTGTCTTTGAATTCGCACGATTTTGCCAAACGTTTTAAATCCGTTACAAACTGAGATACTGTTTCTTTTTCACTCTGCCTACGTTGGCGAAACTTATAGTGCTCTGCTAGAATTGACGCTTTTGGTTGCAAATAATCGCTCATTATTCTTACAACATCGTCGTATTTCATTTTAGCGGGTTTAATTGGGCTGCATAGGTTAGTCATCAGTTCATATACTAACTTTCGCCAACCACAGATATCAACGTAGGTAACTTTAATTCTTCCTTGACGCCGTTAACCAAAAAATACATTTCCAACCTTTCACAATATGAACTCCAATTGCCATTTGAAACATCGAATTCTCCGATTCTGCCCATGTTTGCCATATTTTATTATGATAAAATTCCACGTCGCCACTGCGAAATAAGATACTCTTAATTGTTCCACGTTTATTGCGAGACTGCCACCGCCCGAACTCGTCTTAAAATCGTTTTTCGAGTCTACCCTATATATAAAGCTAAACAATTATGAGATACTAAACTACAAACAATATACCACAAGAATAAAATTTGGTATATTCTTAATAATTACTCTATGTAAGTGCCGCATGTATTTTCCTTGTCACTCTTTCTTTGTTTTGTTTTTGTACCAAACAAATAAATAGATGGAAAAACTAAGGCTGAATTATTTGGTATCTTTCGTCTTTCGTTAACTGACTGGACGTGATTCAAAGATTTTAAATTGCTCAAGCTCTCTTCTCTACCGTTAATTTGAAAGGCTATCCAGGGATCTTCTGTCAGCCGTCTGTTCCGTCACTGCACAGGGAAATTGACTCACTGGCCCATGCCGCTACGGAGAAAGTCGATCATTGAGGTTCTTTTTTGAGTTAAACTCGACTCGATTGACGGGGGGTATACACCACTGACCATCCCGCGGCGTGATTACTCCATGCTAGATGTGCAGTTCACACAGCGCTCAGTGTGCAAAGTACACCTCTCACTGGACGTCAACAGTCGAGTGGGTCTGGTTGGAGTCCCTTCTATTGTGTTGAAGATGGGTGTTCTGGAGTTAGCACCGGTTCTAGCGCATCTTGTGTGGTATTGTAACTCCCTAGGCTTAATCTGAACTTATGGAAGGTTGTTTTAGTGCACCCGATCCCTAAACAGGTGACTGCTCATTCCCGTCCAACTACAGACTTATCACCATCACCTCTTGTCTCCAAAATGATTGAATCCATTATACACTGCCAGCTCATAATGTACCTTGAGGACCACAAGCTGATAAGTGATTGCCAATACTGTCACTAATCAGTTGGATCTATTTCTAATCTTCCGATTTACCCTACTTATAAATTAGCACAAGCAGTAGAGTCCAAGAGTCGTTGGTCATTACTTTGGACATAGCGAAGGCTTTCTACGGACTTTGGCACAAAGCGCTTCTTTAGCTTCCTTCCCACGGGATTCCCGAGAAATTATGCAATTGGATCATCAGTTTCTTTGCTCATCGGCGCATCAAGGTCGTAGTAGACGGTGCATACTCCGACTACGAGCCTATTAATACTAGCGTTCACAAGGCTGCGTGCTACACCTACCTACGCTATGTTGTTACTGGTTGTAACACTGGTGACGCTTTTTATACCTGCCGTGCCAATATTTCTCGGGAACAAGTCTTCGAGTATCGGAACAAACTTATGTTTTAAGTCGAGTATTTGATAAACAAAATCCCAATACGATATTGGGGACAACTCCAGTCCAGTTTAAACTTCAGAAGTTACAGGTTTGCACGTTTACCACTAAAAAGAATCCCATTGTCGTACCTCCTCAATTTAAGGGCATTCCTGATGCTGCCTCAGTCAGCTTCGGAATCCTCGTCATCGATATATCGAATGACGTACAGCGTGATCACTTTCAAGGGAAGGCTAAATTGGCGTCTAAAAAGATTGGCGTGCTCAGCAGAGCGGGTTAGTAATTCAAATCAACAACTTTGCAAGGCGTAAGTTCGCCTTCGCATGGAGTAGTGTTCTCATATCTGGACCGGGGCACCCCAGTGCTAGTGCTTCCACTTGACTCCATCCAGCGAAGACTAGCTCGATTCATCGACGACCAACTTATTTCTGATCGGCTCGAATCACTGATGCTGCAAAGAGATGTTTCATACTATTGCATTTTCTTTCGCATTTTCTTCGGGGAGTACTTGGAAAAATTGTTTGTATTGATTCCAGCCCCAAAATTCCCCCATCCACACTATCTGAATGCTTAGCAGTCTACCGTGACTGTGCGTTTTACTAGGAGTTTTCTTCCTCGCAAGACTTATTTGCGGACTTAAAAAGGCTGGCGATGCACCTGCAATTTCTGTGGTGTTATAGATGTTCATGGGCGACGGTCAACACTTACTATCAGGAAATTTGGCTTAATATGGCTGAAACGGCGGGGTGGAAAGCTAGTAAAATATAATAATCTAGTAAATATATTAGTGAGCTGGGCAGGCACAGAGAGAAACGACCGATGGGTGTAGGGTATATTCATAAATAGCCTAGGATTGTTGGAACTCTAAATCAGGCACCGCTTACAGCTCGAAGAACCGTCAGCAGATAGTGAAAGATACTAATACGAGTTAAATTAAGGGGGTAGTGGATTATCTTACGCCACAACTAGACGGCAATAAGATATAGATCTTATTTTGTCTCACATTAAGTTATCATCCTCGCGGAATCAGACCTCTTTGACGCTAATTCCTGTCCCAGGCTGGATATTTTACGATTGTCGTAAACGGAATTGTCGTACCATCGCGTTGTCATATCCATATCGTGAGGTATTTCTTGCATTACTCATAGTCTCCTACTGCGAAATCTATGAGACTAAAATCGAGTCATGGATCCTCTCACCACCGTCGCCACACGGCCGAAAGACTAAGTACTAGAAGATTAATCCTAAAGTTTTCAATTTCAGGTATAACAGCGAGTCCAGAGTATGGTGGAACTGGTGGAAATTATTCAGATCATTGCATTATTATGGAAGAAATTTCACGGTAAATATTTTTTCTTTCAATATGATTTTTCTGTGGTTAAATGTCAACTTTTCGTACCTATCTCATCTGGATTGAGTTTTGGTGATAATCCAATATTAATAAAATATTAATATTAGTAAATTAGTAAATATAATTGACACAGGCGGGTGCAGTGTTACTTGTGTACTGTATCTATATCACTTTACAGTTGTCGTCTAGTCGTCATAACGAAGTCAATCTCATTTTTTGTCGAAACGTCGGGGCTCGACCAGGTCTCTGATCGGCTCCGAGCTTAGAAACCTAACATATTGAGTGGGCAAATCCTCCTAGAAATGCATACTAGCTGAGGTAATCACAAAGTGTCTTAATGCCCAGCCGTGGAATTAAAAAAGCTGGTGATACTGCACTAATGACTAATTTTACAAAGCGATAGAATAAAAAAAATCAACTAACTAACAAACGAGTCTCTCTTACCAAAAAATGACAGTGCAACCTGTTGGAAGTGGGAGTTATTATATGTTATATGGGAAAGAATATTTCCTGGCAATAACTCAAAATAATTACAACTGCGGTTGCCAAACCGCCTGCAAATCGCGGCAGTTATGGCATAAATTTCCTCTATGGAGGCTGTGGGGAGGCCTGTGTTCAACAGTGGATTTTGAAAGGATGAATGAATGTATTCATTATTTTTGACAATTATTAATTGATTTTGGACTTTTGGACCTTTACATAAGATTATTTCACAAATATCTATAATTCAATTTCCTTCCATTTAATATAAATGTTACATCTTAAACAACAAAAAATTTACCAATTTTTGATCATTTTTAAGCATATTTACAAATATTATTCTGGTTTTTGCTTCTAGCGCGTACAAAAAACGTGACCGCCAATAATAATTTATTATATAACTTTTATTTTTATCTGCTTTCATAAATTAGTGACTGCCAATTATTTATTATGTTAATTCATTTTTGTCCGATAACATAAAAATTAAATTTGACAGTCACGATTTTCGACGCGCTAGTCACATATGCTTACCGAGATAGCAACGCCTGATAAGCAAATAACGGCATTAAGAATATTCAACACAGTGCCACCAGGAAGTCATCTACCGCCTGCTAAACAAAAATGAGCACGTCTTTAAAGATGTGACTAAATTTACTTACGCGACGTAAGAATATTCAATACTATAAAACCAAGATATAATTGTTAAGATAGCCCAGTAGTAATTAAGTTATTTCGTAAGTTAACTAGTCTAGTATTGGTGTGTACTCACATTCTCACAGTAGTTAAGTTGTAAATTAGAAAATAAAAGTAATATAGGAAGAAGCCTTCGTCTCCTTCCACTTCAACCTTCCCTAAGCTACTGCAAACGTAAATTGCTATAAGCAAAAAAACCAGAAGAATATTTGTAAATATATTTAAAAATAATCTAAAACTACTTTTACGTATTTTAACGCGTTTAGTTTACTTGATTTTAATTCCCGTCGTCACATGGGACTGAGGTGATTGACGCTGATGTCAGTGTTAACCCGGAGGAACTTCAACTTTTTAAATATTACTTATAGTCCGATTTACGCAAAATGAACTTACCGTGTCTTGAAGTTGAAATTTAGATTTTATTTGTTCCACCGTTTTGTCTTCAGTGCAGTATCTCCAGTTTTTTTAATTCCACGGCTGGGCATTAAGACACTTTGTGATTACCTTAGCTAGTATGCATTTCTAGGAGGATTTGCCCAACTCAATATGCTAGGTTTTTAAGCTCGGAGCCGATCAAAGACCTGGTCGAGCCCCGACGTTTCGACAAAAAATGAGATTGATTTCATAATGACGACTAGACGACAACTGCTTAGTGCAGTCGGCAACCTGCGGCTCGCGAGTCACATGCGGCTCTTTGTATGTGAAGCTGCGGCTCTTTAGTTCCATACGCAAATATTATTTATTTTATAAAATAAAATATTTAAAATCGTTCTGAATCGATTAACGAGTATTAGGCGTCATTTCTATCTCTGAGCTACTTGTACTCGCTTTTTCCGCACCCCTCCCCGGTGACACGCGTCGTCACTGTCGTAAGTCGGTCGAAAGCTCTGAGGTTCTTCAATGCATTATTTCTTTTTTTTTTCAAAAATTATTATTTATGCAAGTACTATTTATGCTTGGCAAGAAAAATTTTTGTGGCTCTTTAAAAACTTTGAAATATTGTAAATTGTAATTTTTGACTCTTCCGACTCAAAAGGTTGCCGGTTTAGTGATCTCGAGAGTGAAAGCGGCAGTAATCACCGAATGGTGAGAGGTACACTGAACCTAAACGTTAAGTTGCAAAAGACACGTCTAATGAAGTCAACGCTACGTCCCTCTCGTGCTCTGATACAAAGTACCGAAAACTTTCAGCTCGAGTTATTTGATATTTTTTCAGTGCCTAGAAGATTGCAATGCAGTGGACGATATCAATGAAATACTATGACATACATAATGACGATACAACGTTCGTGGAAACTATCCATGCGGTCAGAGCTAAGTTTTGCAGGACCCGCCGCTAAAGAAAATAAAACTCTCCGATCACACTCTTAATCTCATGACTGTAAGACGGGCAACGAAGCTGCAGTCTTCAGCAGATTTGACAGCTCGTACTGAAGAAGCGACCGAGTGGAATCAGGGCTCCAAAGTCTTTGCCAGAGATCTGTCTGCCAGAAAGAGCCAATTGTCGAAGCTGAAGACTGAGTGTGGCAGCATCGTTTCCGGTACACCTGAGATTTTGAGTGAGATTGAAAGGTTCTATGGGCAGCTGTATACGACATCGTTGGAGCCACACACAAGTGTGACGATCCAAGAGCAGGTCTTGAAATTAGAATGGCTCTTCAGCACCTTAAAACGACAAGTCCCCGGGCTAAGATGAAATTACAGCGGAGCTTCTAAAAACGGGAAAACCGGTACTTGAAGTCCTTCAGAAGCCCTTTAATTCCGTCCTCCGTAGTAGCACTATACCGCATGCGTTGAGCAGAAGTGCGGTGGTCTTGTTCTTCAAAAAAGCCGATAACACTCTTTTGAAAAACTTTACTTCTGAGCCGCGTCTACGTGTTGTTTTCGAGAGTCATAAGGAACCATCTCACACGCAGACTCGACGACTTCCAGCCTCCTGAACAATCTGGTTTCCGAAAAGGCTTTAGCACCATAGACCATATACATACCCTTCGGCAATTTGTACAGAAGACCAAGGAGTACAATCTGCCAATATGTCTTGCGTATATGGACTATGAGAAAGCCTTTGATCTGTCTGAATTTATGGAGTTCTGCAGTCCCTTCAGCGGTGCCAAGTTGACTGTCGGTATATCGAAATGCTGAAGTGTTTGTACATTAGAGCTACGATGGCTATCCGAGTACAGAATCAGAGTACGAAACCTATCCAACTGCAGAGAGGTGTAAGATAGGGTGACGTTATATCACCGCTGCGTCGGAAGACGTTTTCAAACTACTGGACTGGAAAGGATACTCACCTTCGATTTGCCGACGACATAGTCCTTATGGCAGAATCGCTATAGGATCTGAGAACTATGGCCTCAACAGTGTGGGAGACATTCGAATAGGTCTAAAGATAAACATGGACAAAACAAAGATCATGTGTAATGTCCATCTAAAAACTACGCCGATGGTTGTTGGGGGTACTAAGCTCGAAGTTGCTGACGAGTATGTTACCTTAGACAAATAGTCTGACCAGGTAAGTCCAACTTAGACCCAGAGGTAAATCGACGGATTCAGCTCGGCTGGGCAGCGTTCGGAAGGAAAATTACGATACATCTTCTCGTCAAGTACCTATACCTCAAAACTTAAAAACGAGATTGTACAACCACTGCGTGTTGCCAGTGATGACTTATGGATCTGAGACGTGGCCCTTCACTACTTTCCTTATATAATATTGTAGTCTCTGTTCACTACTGACCGTATGAGGAAGCTCAGAGTCGCTCAGCGAGCTATGGAGAGGGCTATGCGCGGGGTTGCTCTGAATGATACATTTAGAAATGGGGATATTCGTAGTAGAACCAGAGTGACCGACATAGCCCAACGGATTTATTGTTCCTTGTTCTATTGTAGGTAACCTGCGAAAAGTGATTTTGTGCTTTTTGTTTGTATATTACACTTAATTTAGTTTCGATTCTGATCACACATCTGGCAAATTTTTTAAATTAATGAATTAATTTATAGTCAATATCTTATACAGAGTCAACATCTCACAAAAAATCTTTACATTGACTAGTGTTGCCCAAATGCAAGAACAAGACGAGACTTAGCCAGTCTTGATCTTGGTCTTGCGCCAATACACCTGGTCTTGTTCTTGGTCTTGGTCTTGCAGCAAGAGTCTCGCAAGTCTCGCAATTACCTATTAGCCTATTGTTATTTATTAAACGTTACTTTAGATCTTAGAACAACTTAACAGAGTAGGCACATTTTGAGCTTGAATTAACATAGCCATAGAAAGACCAACCAAATTAATAAATGTCTAAACATTTAATGAGAAATTCGAAAAATCAACTAATACCGGGTGGGGTTTGAACCCACGACCTAAGCGATCCGTGCCGATGCTCTAACCAACTGAGCTGTCTACTAAGTCTCACGCCCACGGGAGTTAGTCTGTTTCTTAATAAACGTTTACATTTAATAAGCTTACATGTGCTAAAACTTAGTCAAAACATATAAAAAACAAATTAATGAAATTAACTTGACTGTATTATAAAGAAAATTATCTGTCTAGAAAGAGATTGATAGACCCTTATATGAAATGGAATAAAAGAGTTATACAATTTACCATTTATTTAAATAAAAAAATAAAATACAATACAAATTAAATTACATAACAGTACACAACAGCTTTGACATTACTGTTACTTTATATTAATTCTTTTGACCAAGAATTAATACAAAGTAACCATCTGGCTGACTCATCACTTAACCTATTTCTATGTTTTCTAATTGCTAATGATGCTTTAGAAAATAATCTCTCAGCAGGTACTGAAGTTGCAGGTATTGAAAGAAAATCACGGGCCATCTTCGATAAAGTCGGATATTCTGTCTCATGCGTCCTCCACCACTCTAAAATGTCTTCCGAACTGGCGGCTTTTGGGTTTACTTAGGTACTCCTCCAACTCGTCTATAACTAAGCCTTGATGAAAAGATCCAGATCCAGATGACGTCGAGAGATATGCATACAATTTCTCAATGTCTATTACGTCTTCATTTTCATCATATTCACATACTTTCTTTTCATCTCTTGGTGATTCTAGATATGTATTCACTGAGTGTAGACTTTTATATTCTTTATAAAGTTCATTAAATTTGCGCAGGCTTTCTGTTTTAATTTGCTTCCCCAATAATGTCATGTCAAAAGTCTGAGTCTTATGCCTTGGGTCTAAAATTAAAGAGGTACAATAAATCCAGTTGCTCTTTTTATAATGTTTAAGCATTTTGTCTCGAGCGGCTTGAAAACGAAAAATGAGCCTTTCAGCCACTTCGGATCGATTAGGTTTCTCATCTAATTGTTTTACCATGGATTCAATTTTATCGAGCAAGAGATTGAATGATACAATGACTAACGGTAATGTAACAATTTTTTCTCCACCAAGTTTCGTTGATAGAAGTTTAAAGTTTATTAGAAACTTATGTATTTTTTCCAGTATTTGCCATTCACTACCTGTGATTTGAAAATCATTCAATTCGGTGACAGAAGTGCACAATATGTTAATGCCAGTTCTCACTTTTAAACCAAATCCAATCATATCACGTGTGGAATTCCATCTCGTTGGACAGTCGAGTATGGGGTTCAGATTTGATGGCACGCCAGCTGCGTCACAAGCAGACTGAAACTTCCTCTTCAATATCTCACTTAATTTTTATTTTACTGGAAATACTGCGTGATTTTGTTATAACTGTACGTGAGTCAGCAATATGGCCTCCTCATATTCCTCAGTTTCGTCTTCATTATCTTCATACTGCTGTTCTTGTCCCTTATTGTCAGTTTCACTGTGTAATGCTAAGGTCTTTAATAAATCTTGTACACCAAGGTTCAAAATGTGAGCAAAGCACCGGAAATGTTGATTGTCTGAATCAAAGTGTGGCAGCTGTTTGTCCAATTCATACATAAATTTGGTATTTGCAGTTGCGTTGTTGACCGTGATACCCTGTATTTTATTAATTATGTAATATACCAATAAACACTGCACTCCCTAGTATGTCGACCGCGTGATGCTATAAAATCAAGGACTACAGATCGATACTTCCATTCGTTGTCTATATAATGAATAGTGACCCCGTAGTAACTCCTACCAGCAATTGACGTCCATCCATCAATGGTAAAAGACATTTTAGATGAAAATTGTTGTAGTCGTTTCTTAAGATTCAATTGAAGCTCTTCAAACCGTTCTTTGACCTTCCTTCAAGTGTGGACCTTTTAGGAAACACCATATTTGGGCAAATTGATCGAAAATATACTTGTGTAGCGTCGTCATCGAAAAATTAAAAGGGAAGATATTTTTTAATCATCCAATCAACTGTAGCTGTCGTGATGTTGTCACTGCAATTTTCAGACTGAAATAAAACAGTAAATCATGTGTCTCGCTGATTATAAAAACAAATGAAAATATGAGTGAATTATAAATATATATTTAACACTATAACTACCACTCACTGACTGACTATAACGATATCTCAGGAACTATAAAACATACAAACTTGAAGTTTGTAAGGTAGGTTCCTTTTATGGCATAGAGATCATAGAGTTTTTGTAAAGCCATAGGCGCGGAGGGAGGGCAGTCCTCGCCCGCCGTTGCAAATTGCGATGAGCCATAGTGGGTGAGGCTGGTATTTGTGGACGAATAATAGATAATATAATTTACATCTATTTTTTTGAATGGCAATTTAAAACAAAGTGAAGGAAAGAAACAACGAAATTTTTTTTTCGCTTTATTTTTACAAGTCCAACACAAACATTCACAAAATCATGATTGTGTGCAGATTTCTCAGCTTTCATACAAAGTTACATCACCTTGGCCCATAATATACGAGTCCCATAAGACACATACACTCTTGTATTATAACTGGCGTACACTGTAGCCACAAAGGAAATTAACTTTTCTAGAATTATGTCTCTGTAGGGCATTCTTGATCTTACGTAAGCATAATATAACATAAATTACTAATTTAAACTTTAATATTCACACTCTTCACGTACAGGAGCAATACGGTGGACGGACTTCCCTCTCAGTATATAAACAAACGTATATAGACTGCAGTAACTTTTAGTATATTTTAAAATGTGTTGTATATATTATTTATTGCAACAGTTTAATATAATTATTGCCTTTAAGTTTTTTTTAATCGAAATGTCATCTGTTACCTGATTCTGTGTACTATTTTCAGAGCTTGTGGGTCAATTGGGTTGTCCTATGGCGCCCACTCAAATTTATGTGTAAACCAGATCAACCGAAATGGCACACACGAACAGAAGAGCAAATATTTACCTAAGGTAAATATTATTACTTAATGACATGCAACTTTAAAGTTGCCATAACCAATAATTAAATAAAAAATTAGGGTTGGGATGTACCCAGTATCTCTATCAGCTAATCTAACTCTCACAATGAGGCATTGAAAATGACATAATTCGGTGTTACTATATTCATTCGAAACACAGTAAGCAGCATGAAGCATTATCTGTGCGAGGCTAGCTGAGCGTTCTTCAATCTGACTTTACGGCGTGTTATACATGAGGAGATCTTGTAAATGGTGAATTCATAAGAATAGTGGATTTAGAAAGACTTATAAAGTAGAAGAAATATTTATATGTTTGTAATGGTCGTCGATCTGTAATTTTGCAAATCGACGACCAGGAGTTATCGAATATGCGAGACGTGCGGTGGGAGTGTGTAGATGATAGCAAATCGTTCTTGCGATGAAAAAGGATCACGTCAGTAGTGTATTGTTACGTGAGTACTGATAAAAAATCACAGAAAAGGAAACAAAGTACTTGTGTTTTTAGAGGCCGGTGTATCTTTACAACGTTCAGAAATCCAATCCTAAAGGTGGAAAAATATAGGTGCAATGAAATTTTTAATGAAAATACAACCTTGATTTTGATATTCTTTCGTTCACTCAAAAAGGTCAAAACATAAAATTTTTATTAAAAAGCAATAGTCAACTTCAAAGAACGAAAAACAATAAAATAATTTCATAATCTAAAGTTGGGACTTCAATGAGGGCTGATAATCTTCCACCAGAGTTTTTGTTTGAAGTCAACTTTTACCGTAAAAGTTTCACTTTTGTGAAACATGTGGTAATAACTGAAAATTACAGATATTCATTCGAATCTTAACCCATTCCCTGTACCACATATGGTTCATTGCTACTGTCCGAAAATTGGACAGTTAATGGGTGCGTTTGGCAGAAAAAAGCGCTAGCAAGCGCTTGTAAGCAAAATGGCGATCGTAAGCGGTAAGCGCTGTCAAATCGTAAGTAGCTATTTTCCTCTAGGACACAAAGTCAGTTTTAATCGGGGAACCTAACCTAATTTCAATATATGTTTGTAAAGTATTCATATTAAAAACTTACCAATCATGAATTTTTAATAACATCTATATGTATATTCATGTCATTATATTACTTAAAACTAATATTGCACAAAAAAACTTATAAACTCTACTTCAAAACAAACAAATTAAATAAGCAAAATGGCGGATTGTGTCAGCGCTACTGAAGTAGCAATCGTGTCCTGGCCGAAAACTATTTCAGCGCTTGTAAGCGCTTGCTAACGCTTTTTTCTGCCAAACGCACCCATTGTGTTAAAATATGTATTTCAGTCGGACCTAGTCCTCACTCGTAAACAAAGCAGTTTTTTTGGATTATGCTGTTAAATGTAGATATTTTTTAAACCACAACTTGGTAATGTATACCCACTTAAATCAAAATCTCTAGTAATTATTTGTTGCCATGAGATATTTAAGAAAATTAATAAGTTAATTCAAGATGAGTATAAGACTAATCTATATAAAAACTACTTTTACTTTAGCCGTGTGGTGTGCGGCGGAGTAGAATAGCACCACCCCATATCTACCTGTGGGTGTCGTAGAAGGCGACTAAGGGAGTGTGGAAAAGGACTGACCCCCTGTACCTTTTTCACTGATATACCTACTGTTCCATCTGTCCGAGTCCCCCTCCGGTCGTAACGGTCTCCGTTCCACTGGGTCCAGGAGGACAAAGACGAGTACGTGCACCTGTGTTCGCGCGTACACTTGTGCACGTTAATATCTCCTGCGCAATTGACCTGCTTCCAATTAGGACTCCGATCTAAGTCAATGTCCTACGGCGATGGGAGGCGGTAGAGAGGCTTAACGTGATACTCGTTGGGTTTTGTTTGACTCCTGCACGTAGGCGGTCTTGGGGGTGTAGTATACATCGTGGTCGTTTCTAACCCGCATCGGGGTGACGGAGCGGATTCGGCAGCACCCAAGGTGACAAAGCAGCCCTATTCAGGGAGGCACTGCTTTCCTCGCTCAGCCGGAGAGGGGGCTAGAAAAGGTGCCCTAAACAAATGCTCACTCCAACCCTTTAGGATGGTAGCAACCGCAGCTGCCTCTGCATCACAAATCCGCGGTCGACGCCACAGAAAAAATAACGAAAATTTTAATTTATCAAAATCAATGACATTTGGCGCTTGGAATGTGCGCACATTTCTTGACCGAGAAGAAAATGCCTGCCCTGAGCGGAAAACTGCCATCGTAGCTCGGGAACTAAGTCGCTATAATATTAATGTGGCTGCACTCAGCGCAACACATCTCGCCGATGAAGGAGAGCTGGTAGAACAAGGTGGCGGGTATACTTTCTTTTGGAAAGGACTCGTTTCCTCAGAGCCCCGAAGGTCTGGTATAGGCTTTGCTGTCAAGAACTACCTTGCTGCTCAACTGCAAGAATACCCTGTACACGTCTCGGACTGCATTACCACATTGCGCCTTTACATGGGACGTGAAAACTATCTGAATGTCATCAGTGTCTATGCCCCTACGCTAGACAAGTCTGATGAAATTAAGGACAAATTTTACGAAGAATTGACGCGGTGCATAGATCGTATCCGTCCAAGGGAGCAAATCCTTCTCTTGGGCGACTTTAATGCCCGAGTAGGACGAGATTATGACGCCTGGCCTAAAGTTCTGGGCAGACATGGTGTTGGTAAAATGAACAGCAGCGGCCAACTGTTGCTTAGTTTTTGTGCACAATTAGATCTTGCAATTACAAATACTACGTTAAGATTACCTGCCAAGTACAAGGCAACGTGAATGCACCCCAGATCGAAGCATTGGTACGTTATAAATTACGCTGTCGTGCGTCAAAAAGACATCTCTCAAGTCCTAGTCACGCGTGTCATGCGTGGTGCTCACTGTTGGACTAATCACAGGCTTGTTGTTATTAAATTAAATCTTCGTCTTCCACGTCCTTGTAGATCTAAAAGATCTAAACAGATACGTCTGAACCTTGAACGACTCCAAGATACTAACACGAGGTCTAAATATGCAATGTCTGCGCAATATTCTCAACATCCGTTGGGCTAATCGCACTCTAAACACGGAAGTGCTGCGTAGAGCCCATACTATGGGGATTGAGGCCTACCTTATGGAGTAACAACTCCGTTGGTGTGGACACTTATCGCGAATGTCAGACCAGCGTACGGCAAAGTGCTTCTTTTTCTTTGAACTTGAGAAGGGCAAGCGTAAGCATGGCGGACAACTCCTCAGGAACAAAGATGTACTTAAGCGCCACATGAAGAAGTGCGACATTGAGCCTTTAGAGTGGGAGCAAGCAGCCGCTCGACGACCGGAGTGGAGGTCTTTGGTGAAAGCCAAGGTCAAAATGTTTGAGGAGAATCGCTGCTCTGAATTGGATGCCAGACGAGATGAACTCAAAGCACGCCCACCTTGTGCGATTAACTATAATTTCTGTAACGGTTTACTCACCTGCCCGCATTGCGCTCGAACATTTGTAAATAAGATCGGCTACGTTAGCCATGCACGAGCACACCAACGACAGGATCGGAGTTGAAGAGGTCGCCGTGGCCGAAATCGGTCGAGGAATATATATTTTCACTGCACGTGGTGCAGTGTACCCGGTATGTAACGTAAGACTACTTTATAATTACTTTACTACAGTAAAGTAATTATAAAGTAGTCTTTATACATCCCACTGCTGGGTACAGGCCTCCTCTCATTGCTAAGGGGGCGTCCATAAATTACGTGAGATATTTAAGGGGGGGAGGGGGTCGAGTCAAATCTCATCTAATCTTACGTTGAAGAGAGGGGGGTCTCGGCAAATATCACGAAATTTTTTTCTGATTGAAACAAAAAAAATATACTATTTTGGTCCATTTATTCCAGATTGTACATGCTTAAGATAATACGATTAACCACTACTGAAATGTCAGATTATTAAACCAATTAGTCAAACCTATGGTCAAGCCAAAGAATATAGTAGGTTTGGCCAAAGACAATTTTTTTTAATGAAGGAAAATATAATTTAGAGTTATTACCATATTCTTATCCAAAAATAAAAATTATCAACAATTAAAATAACGAATTATTCGTATGAAGGTCACGTGAGCGCTATAGAAACGACGATTGTAAGACGTTGTTGATAAATAAAATGTTTAATGAAATAGTACAGTAAAAATATAATTTAACTTTGCACTAAATTTCCGATCCAATTTTATTTTTTTATAAGGTTTAGGATCACTTACTCAGCATAAAAGTAGAAAATGCTGACAGATCCAAGTGCCATCTTGAAAAGACGTTTTCAGACGATATCTCGGAAACTATGCACTTTAAGGCAAAAGTTATATAAACCATTACTGTAGAAATAAAAATTTCGCATCTTTTGTTTCTAGTCAACTTTTTTGTAAAACTTACCGTTTACGATTTACGGCCCATTTAATGAACCGGTTTTTCCATCGTGGCCAATAACTCTTGAAATTATATTTCTAATCTCTATCTCTGAATTAATATTTCAAGAGTTACTGGCCAATCTAATGATTAATCAATAAAATGCATATATCTGTTTTTAAATATCAGGTTATTTTCTAAAAATTTTGTTTGAAACGTTTTTTTAATGTCCATATTTTTTGAGTTATAGGATGTTTAATTTTTTTTTCTTTACAATACATTTATTCATCCATCATTTACAATAACAATCCAACGCGTTTACGTAAGAAACCCACATTTTGAAAAATTTCACGTGAGATTGGGGGATTGGGGAGAGGGTTGAATAAAATCTCACGACATCTCACCAGGGTCCCCCCTCCCCTGGTGAGATGTCGTGAGATTTTGGGGTTGATTTTGGGGAAGGACAGAAAATTAAAAAAAAACATCTCACGTAATTTATGGACGCCCCCTAAAAAAAAAAGTGCCTTCAAGTGACTTCATATGATAACCTAATTTTTTTTAGATATGCAGTTTTCCTTATATCGACGATGAAGTGCCAATATCTTCTAACTGCTGAAATTAAAATTTAACACAAAGCAAAAAAAAAAACGTTTATTTTTTTAACTGATTTAAAATTGAGGAATATATTCATTTATTATGGATAAGAATAATTAATTCTTTGTTTCTAATGGCATTTCAATATATTATACAATAGTGTTGTAGATTCGGGTAATTAGGAGGTTATTAACTTTACATTAATTTATTTTTGTAATAAATTAAGATACTTAAATGGTAATGGCTTTAACAAATACGTTAAATATTTTGAAACAAATTCTTTATTTTGTTTTTAAATAAACAATTGTCAGGACGTCTAACAAAAACAATCTGAACTAATTAATATGAATATAAGAAATACAATGTTGGTAATTAAAAAGTATGTATGCAATCAAATGACAATGAAATAAAGAGTTGTTAAAAGATCACTCGTGAGGTAAAGTATCATATAACCAGTGTCAATCTCTTGGTAAGACTTCTTTTAACTGTTGAAGATGATTTAATTAGGAAGAAGCTATAGGGTTTGGTGCGGCATGCAAAGGTGTATACTGCAGTGAATTAAGTTTTCTCGATCTTAGTGGTAGCTCTGGTTTATACTGGATGACTCGCAGATTAACAACAAGAAGGTCTCCAGCTTTTCGACCCGATCTTATGCCGCTGTACCTCCACGTCGATTGATTGCTGTAATCCTTAACAAAATCATAATTGATCATAATAGCTTCACACGGAGCAAGGTTTATTCGTGCCCACTTTGTCACAGTAAAATAGTCACTTGGAAGGTGACAGGAGGCATGTACTGAGTCACACTCCATTTGAGTATGACAGGCTGTAAGTACTTCTGTGTGATAGATACTTCGTGTTCAATTCTCATGTTCAACAAAGCGTTTACCATGATATTATTCCTATTTTGATAGGTGCAGCCATCTAAGTAAATAACTATGGGTAATGGTTTGAGCAAACAATATCTCTCTAGGTAATCGCATACATAAGATGTGAAAGTACTAGCAGTTAGATCTGCGCACGTTTCATCAAATTAATAACAGGAGGCTTTATGGGTGACCTGGTCATAAATTGTAAAATTATGACATGTTAGTTTTATATTAAAGTAAAGGGCACTAGCAGTTAGATAATTAGAAAAATGAATTCAGCAGATGTACCTTTTTTTTATCGGTTTCCTTCTCTTGCCTCGCTCTAATTTTGCGTTTAATATGTTGTTCATAGTCGGTTGTATTAATGTTTCCTACTGCATGTCCACTGCAGATGTCGCACATATCCATTTTAATGTGTATAAAGATAGATTTTTATTGCGAAACATTATGATTATTTTTTTATCCGAATGTGAAACGAGAAAGCACAGGCTCTTCGTTTTGAGTACAGTGCCCTTTATATTGTCTGTAAGTATAAATTATTCAGAGAACGGTAAATGGATTCTAAATATTACTTCGACGAGTCTTTTCTCGCATAGTGAGACGATAGCTTGGGAATGTTATCTAAAAACCTGCGTGCGGTTAGAAGTTTTTGCAGAGTTCCAGATCGTGGCGTTTTAACCCTGGCCATATTTTGAACTTCCTGACAAGGAATTACTCTATTACGCGACTTTTTAACCGTGTACAAACCAAGACACAAAGTACCTACGCAAAAATGTGTTTCTGCAAACATGTAAATTTTGTAACCAGTTGTGTCAGACCATATGCCATGGAAAAATCATGAAAACATCTCTCCGCATGATTGTTAAAACGTGAACCAATCCATGCGGCGTTGTGGGCGTTAAAATCACCGATGATCACGATCTCTGCAGAGAGGATCTGTTGTAGCAACGAATTTGTAGCCATTTAGACGTGGTCGAACAGTCGGTCTGTTTCGGCATTACCGTTATGGGACCTATAGAGGCACCCGTTGATGCGCGGATGGTCGTCGCGGTCTAGGCGTAAGGATAGACAGGTCCGAACCTGCAGGTCTGCCGAGGCGTCGAGAACATATGTCCTCTATGACGTATGCGCAAACTCTAGCCCGAGGCAGAAAGGAGTGTTCCAGTTTGTACCCCGGGTAGGAGAGATACAAAGCATCAGCCGGAGAGGACACCTGCGTCTCGGTCACAAAGAGAATAGCCGGCGTCGCCATCTCGAGATCGTAGTGGACGGCGTTTAGGTGTTCAGCATTATCAGTGCGGGTGTATCGGCTCTGCGCTCATTAACCGTCACCGAGCCTGGTGAGTGTGGCTTAATTTTCCAAGAAATATTGGCTAACTGCCATATACTTGGAAAGTCTGTGTACCAGACATTGAGATATTAAGTAATATATAAGATGTAATTACATTATACTGTAATATGTCCAGTCGTGCAATTAAACATAACATAAACACTCACGCCTGTCACCCAGAGTGGTAGGCAGAAACTACAGACTTCCATTTGGCACGATCTTGACACACCTCTCTCGCCTCCTTCACATCCATACACCTACGCATACATGCTCGTCGGTTAAGGGTACTCCTAATTTGGCCCGTTTTCAATAAATCGCCAATTTGGTCGATAAATTTTCGCCTAGGACGTCCCTTTCCGACTCTGCCATTTACTTCTGCAACATAAATTTTCTTTGTCACTCTTTCCTTCCATTTTTCTTTCATTCTTTCCACATGACCAAACCACCGAAGCATTCCTTACTTAATCCTGGTTACAACATCATCTTGCAAACCACACTCTTCTCTTATTACACAATTTCTTACTCTGTCGTTCAGATTCAGCCCTAACATACTCCTTAAGGACCGCATTTCTACTGCGTTGATTCTACTCTCATGCTTCTTCTGCCATACCCAACTTTCACTACCATGCGTTAAAGTAGGGACCAACACAGCATTGTGAATTGCCATACGTGCCTTTTTTGACACATTTTGACTCTTCAAATTAGAGTGCAGGGCCCCATTTACTCTATTTACCACATTCACTCGTCCTTCTATATCCTTATCAAATCTCCCATCCCTGCTAAATACGCAGCCCAAATATACAAACTCATCTACTTGCTCGATCAACTCCCCTTCTATTCTTATTTCACAAATCGTTTTACTTTCTTCTCTTTCAAAAACCATAACCTTCGTCTTACTTGCGTTCACTTTCATACCCCTTTTTTTTAATGGTCTGTTCATTAATGTAACCATCATTTGCAACTCGGCCGCCGACGACGCAAGGATAACTTGATCCTCGGCGTACAAAAGGCATTTGACGGTTAACTCACCCATTCTTAATCCGCATTCTTCAACTTTCAAATTTTGCAAACAACTGTCCATAAATAGGTTGAACAGCCTCGGGGAAGCCACACAGCCCTGTCTGACACCTTTATGGATGTCAAACCAGTCCGAGTAGACCCCGTTGATCCTAACACAAGCACTAGAGTCCCTATAAGGAGACTCTAATGCCTGTATCAAGCCAGCGCTCAACCCAAATGAGTTCAGTGTTTGCCATAGCACATCCCTATCCACTCTGTCATAGGCCTTTTCCAATTCCATGAACGCACAAAAAACCTTTTGATTTTTGGCCAAAAACTTCTCCGCGATCATGCGCATGGAAAAGACTTGATCTGTACATCCCATTCCCTTTCTGAATCCCGCTTGCACATCCCAAATTTTTCCACCAGTTTCTTTCATGACCCTTTCAATCAGTACCTTAGCATACAGTTTTCCCACAATGCTAAGAAGGCTGATGCCACGGTAGTTTTTACAGTCCTGCTGCGACCCTTTTCCTTTATATACTGGGACTATCACGGCTTTGCACCAGTCTACCGGTACCCGCTTCAGTTCCCAGCATAAATTAAACAAGGTGTGCAGCAGTCCTGCCACGACTTCCTCTCCAGCCCTTAGCAATTAAACAGTACTTGATTTAATATGATGGAAATTAATGTTTTAACTTCCATAAAAATAGACTACAGAGTTATTCGAGCCACCAAGCATTTCAGTCACCCCGAGTCCATGAGTGCTACAAACTGCAAAGTACTTGTGCCGACGGGAATTTAAAATAAGTTAAATTTAGACTAGATGAAACGTGGATGGGTACGTGGTAGAGCCATGCTGCAGCTATGTTAGTAGTACAGTTGTAGCACGAATGGGTCGACTCGACTGGGGAAGGACCACGCTCTCACATAATACCAGCATAAAATAGTAGCTTAATGCTGCTATGTTTCGTATGGTAAGTATAGAGAACCGGAGACCTTTTTACTGGAAAACGAGGCATTCCGTCTTGGTCCTCACGGGTGACAACGCATCTGCATTTTGATTCGTAATCGAGGACAGATGTAGATGTCCACGGACCACAGCAACCACTTACCATCAGGTGAACTGTGTGCTCATTTGTCACACTTCTCCAATAAAATATATGTAAAACTTAGTTTAATTTATTGTTTTTCCTATTTGTTATTCTCCTAAGTATATGAAAATCATTATCATTTCTGTTTTCACTTTAGCTATGTTCGGGTGAACACATGGGTGCGTTAGCTATGTCAGAATCGGGATCTGGTAGTGATGTGGTGTCTATGAAGCTCCGAGCTGAGAAAAAAGGAGACTATTATGTACTCAATGGCAATAAGTTTTGGATAACCAATGGCCCTGACGCTGACGTTCTAGTGGTGAGAACTTTATCTATTAGTATTAATTTTATTGAACTATGTCCGCAAATGAGTTATCAATATTAAGAAACATTGAGGGATCTTTGCATTTTCATCAACATTTTATGTAAGATATAATATATAAAGAAAATTAATATATTAAAATAAAAAATATGGTATGATACATATATAAGTGACTTGCAATACAAGTAAGTAAACACACAAGTACGAAAGATACGTATAATATACAAAAGAAATCTCAAAAAAGTTGCTATGTTTTGGAAATAACTAACAAATAGTTATTTTACTTTATTTAAATTAAAATGATTATAAAGATTAACAGATCAAAATACAAAATTAAATTATACTTTATAATTAAATTCTAAATAACACAGTAGTAAAGTTAAAGTAAAGTTTCAGCCTATATACGTCCCACTGCTGGGCTCAGGCCTCCCCTCATTTCTGAGAGGGTTTAGGGCAAGGAAGTGTCCGCCGCGCTGCCCAAATGCGTGTTGACAAACTTCACATGTTTTCGAAATATTTTTTTCTTTCCTCAGACATGCAGGTTTCCTCACAATGTTTTCCTTCACCGCCGAGCACGTGGTAAATCAGCACTTAAAATTGCAATTAACAATTTCATTGGTGCCGGCGGGGATCGAACCCGGGTTATTCGCGTTCTGTTATATTTACAGCGAGCGTTAACCACTGAGCTACCACGGCTCTTAACACAGTAGATTATATGTAAATTTTTCAATTTTTTTTTCAAATATCTTTTAAATGGAGCACTGTCAATCACTGAACCGACCATAATTACGGAGTCGGTCAATATTCATTCCTCCAAAATTACGTCGCAGAAGTATTTTACGTTAAAGTTCACGAACGTTAAAGGGCGTAACTGTATAAGAGAAAACATCAGCAGGTCACTGACCGTGTTTGGAATCCAATCTGGAGAGCTCCTCATTAGTAAGTCAAGCAGAGAAGGAATGCAATTAGGAAAGTTATAAAGGAAAGGTAGCCGAAAAGGCTAGGATTTGTATATTACATTACGCAGCGGAAATCACCAGGCCGGAGATTTTTCCGAGCCAGTGGTAACAGTAAAAAACGATTTTCAATAGGAATATTTTATAATCTATATTGAATAAACAATTCTATTCTAATGACACATGCGCGGAACTATCTTATATATATAATTGAAAAATTCTATCGTCATTCGTGGTCGATTGTTTTACCTAAATTTCTAATTTTTATTGGGCTAAAGGTTAGTACTGATTATGTAGAAATAGCTAGCTTGCACTTGATCGTTTCATTAACAGAATCCTCTGGAAATAAAATTTGCTATATGGTGGCCATGGGCCATTTCGTGCCATGGGTATCGTAAGGGGCTGCTATGGGAAATGTCGGAAAGATTGTTAAGCTTCCAATTGATGGCGGTATAACCAACGATATTTTAACATATCATTGGGTATAACCATCTCGAAGCAGCAGTTGTGAAATATCCAGACCGATCAGTCAGCGATGGGGAGTAGTGTAAGTAGTGCGAGACGTTACTGCATTTGTCAATCTGTCTGCTGCATATTACCAATACCTACAGCAAATTATGTCCATAACGAGTGAGACGCGTGTACAACAGTGGACTTTTCCTGCTTGATGAGTAGGAAGAAAAAAAATAGCTACACTATTAACATACTTATTTACCCTTTAAGGTTTATGCAAAGACAAATTTAACGAAAAAACCGCAGCACGGAATATCAGCGTTCTTGATTGAAAAGGACTTTCCTGGATTTTCAACTGCACAGAAATTGGATAAACTCGGAATGAGGGGCTCAAACACCTGCGAGCTAGTGTTTGAAGACTGTAAGGTAATTTTCTTAATTGGCATAGGTATCTTATACTTAAGCATAATTTTCATGATAGAAACCTAAGTAAAACATTTATAAGTTATCTACGAATTTTGAGTTCGACATGGTCTGTGGAGTCATAAAAGAATTCTATTTCGTGTCTTTTTTACCTTAACGTCAACTAATGATCAGTTGATAATGTCAACTAAAGACCTGGTGACCTATAAAACAAGTATTGTTTAATACCTTTATTAGGCACCAGTCTCTCACAAACTAGGGTACGTTACGTTTATAGTTTAGGTATAGTTCAACATGTATGTCATCAATATTTTTGTACCTGTTTGTGATGGGAAAATAAATATAAATTCTATTCTATTCTATTCTAATAGATATTTTTATTACCTTCGTTGATGATACTATCATGTACTTATAATCGCCGGTCCACCTGCTGTTCAGGGTAGTCTAGAAAGTTAAAAATAAGCAAGTTATGAATCCAATAATATTAGTTTGGATTTGGCTATAGTCTTGTAAATTTTCTGTATGCCTATGCGTTGCGAGGTAAAAATTAATAGTTCCACGTTCAAGATCATACGAGTGAATTATTTTTTATAAAATAGGGGGACAAACAAACTAACAGTCCACCTGATGGTTACTGAATGCTGCGGCCCATTTACATCTACATCAATTCTCATTTTCCTGAGTTTTTTTTTAAATAGAATAAGGGTGACGATCACAAAAGTGTTATGTTAAGAACCAAATTGTCACCACTGAGGATTAAGATTGAGTGTATCGTTTTCAATTGCTGCTATTTTACAGTGATATTCTGTACGAGTTGTTTTTGTGAGGATTTTCTGTGATGGGATTCCTACCCCAGTTGAGCCAACCCATTCGTGCTACAACCATAAAATAGCTGCAACGTGTCTCTACTACGTACAAAATTAGAAAGAGAACTAGGAACTTAGAAAGATCACTAAAGAAGAGAATAGAGTAACAAAACGACTGGTCCTACTCTCACGCAGATGTTACGCAAGAGAAGACTTGATTTCTTCGCTTTACGGACTTACTAGACCAAAGAAAGACCACGCTCTCACAAAATACGATCGTAAAGTAGCAGCTTTTGCTGTTGTATTCCGTATAGTGAGTGTAGAGAATGCTTCGTAACCAGTAAAAAGGGTCTCCCGGTTCTCTATACTCACTATACGAAACCCAGCAGCATTGAGCTGCTATTTTACACCGGTATTCTGTGAGAGCGTGTTACTTCCTCGGTCGAGCTGACCAATTCGTGCTACATTTATAATATCGCAATTTTCAGGTGCCAGCTTCTAATTTACTAGGCGAAGAGAACAAAGGTGTCTATGTTTTGATGTCGGGATTAGATTTAGAACGCTTGGTATTGGCGGCTGGTCCTGTAGGTCTCATGCAGGCGGCCATTGATATCGCATTCGCCTATGCTCACACACGGAAGCAATTTGGAAAGAATATAGGTGAATTCCAGTTATTACAGGTAATTTTTATTTTTTAAATTTTATAAATTAAATAATAATACATAAATATAATGTAGTGCTATGTTTTATTACCTACCCATTAAAAGCGTAAAATCTGCTTTTGCATCCTTATTTTAAATGAAATGAATATAATACACATTGAATACGCTATCTTTATTTCTAAATTAATCAATAACGAATGTTTGGTTTTCAGGGAAAAATGGCAGATATGTATACGACGTTGAGCGCGTGTCGTTGTTACCTTTACAATGTTGCAAAAGCTTGTGACGAGGGCCACATCAACAGTAAAGACTGCGCTGGTGTAATATTATACTGTGCAGAGAAAGCTACAAAAGTAGCATTAGATGCTATACAAATTTTAGGTATTTATTTATAACATTATAAAGGTGAACGTGTACTTATTCAAGCCGAACGCGTAGAACGAATCGAATTCGAGGAAGCCTCGCACACATATCCGCACCGAAAGAATCGACCGCGCCGAAAAAAATCGTATTCATTTCCTTTACGTCTGTCGCACTGTAATCTGTAATTACGTGTGAATTGTGATGGATCTTGATGAGGTTTTTATTTTCAGTGCTTTATTATTGGAAGATGAACAAAGTTTTAATTTAATGAAATTAGAATCATTAATTTTTTTAATAAGAAGTAGTACTCGCACGTTCCTCTGTTGCACTTGTTAGATAATTATCAACTGTCAGAATGCGAGCACATCGGTAGCTTACACCGAATCTGATGACGTCATCCCAGTTCGTCTAGGATTTCTGGGGTTCTTCCAGATTCGGACGATTCGACGCGGGTAGGTGTACGAGGTTTCGTATGATCTCATATAAAGCATTTTAAAATTTGTTTCATTCGACGCGTTCGGCTGGGATAGTGTGCGTTCACTTCAAATGTACATGTAAAGTTCACTTAATATGTATAATTAATGTATGACCTACTTGAATTTAAAAAAATAAGTACTATGCCCCATTGGATTGTCTTCGACTGGAATTCCAAACGAAGTAAATATGATGATACTAAATATTTGCAACATAGATAAATTAGGTAGTTTTCGAATCAACTGTTCACTTGTCTGGAATTGCCCGACTTATTAAAAACGATTTGTTGACGTTTACTTCATCTTCATGCAGTCCATTAAATTACGTTCTAAAGTAGATTATATCTCAAGGATGCCTTTAATACATAAACCGGATGACACGCCAAATGCGTCGTTGGCTCCTGGTCCTCTCCCCGCCCACCAGCCCTCACACACACACACACACACATCAGTTTTCTTCTGTATCGTGGAGGCAGTTTACATACATAAATAGCACAAGGATAAACATTCAGACCCGGAACAATTATTCGTAGGCCATACAAATACCTGTTTCGTGAGCGATTCGATCCTGTAGCCCTCTTCAACTTAGCCTAAGCCACTGCGTTACGAAGCCGTCAAAAAGATAAGATATACAGAAGACAAGATAAGATACGTTCAAAGATAAGATACACTTTTAAATTTTCTGGTGTGGTAAAGAGTTTGACAAAATCCAATTTTAAGCAGAAACTAAATATGTAGGTACACTTAGTGCTGCTGAGCTTATTTCCCTCTTAGAAAAAATAGACAGACTTCATTTTAGCTTTCATCGAAAATGACTAATTTATAATATTGCGTTACGTTAAAATAAATCTAGTAGTTTTACTTCATGCCGTCACACCGCCACGGAATAAATGACACCGCTTGAAAAGTGACAGCCCTCACACTGCATACTATTCTCATCTTTGTACCGGTGCGGTGCACCCTTGCCTGATTTTTGAAATCGGTATCTATCAAAGAGCGGTCCAAATTTCTTTCATATAGAATAAGAGCGGCAAACGAGCACACAGTCCACCTGATGATAAGTGAATGCTGTGGTCCATTGAAATCTACACCTATATTCGATTAAGAATCAATCAAACCAAGGCTGAGATCTGCCTCCGATGGGTACCACAGATGACGGAATAAATAGTTCAATTCCCTGTCACTTCAGTGACAGAATCAGCAACAGCGCCAGGATTATCCGGCGAAAAGTAAACACGCCCCCCTCCCGCAGGGTAGGATGCAAAGAAAGACCGCATTCCATCCCAATCCGGTGACCTGTAATGCCAAAACGGCAGAGGCGTGCAAACGCAACTTCGATGAACGCGTGAGTGGCACCACATTCCGGATCAGATCAAAAGAGCCGAGAGAAGTCGACGGAAGCCTGATATCCGCCCGGATGAGAGGTCAGCAGAACGTTGAACAGGGAAAGTGCATGATCCTGCATCTGAAATCCACGTAGGCGAAGAAACCAGTTGTGTCAGACCATATGCCAAAGCAAAGTCATAAATAGATCCCCCGCAAGATTGTTTAAACATGAACCGAGTCATTCGGTATAGTGGGCGTTAAAATCACCAAGCATCACACGGATCTCTACGGATGGGATTTGTTGTTGCAAGGAATCGGTAGCTATTTGGACGTGGTCGATGAGATAGTCTGTACCGGCATTTCTGCGTGTGCTTATATAGGACTTATATAAGCACACGCAGAAACAAAGCTTCTACATCACGCTGGCATTCTGTGAGGTTATGTTACTTCCCTGGTTCGAGCCGGCCCATCCGTGAAACAGCAGAAGTTGTCGCGTGGCTCTACCACTGTTGATTCTGTGAGAGCGTGGTCCTTCCCCAGTCGAATCGACCTATTCGTGCTATAATCATAATATAGCTGCAGCATGACTTTATCACGTTAAAAATATGCTAAAAAAGAAGTCTAATTACTCTATGCTAAAGACAACATTCTCTCAGAATGACTCGATTTCGGAAATGCTACGCTTCTTCGCACTGCGAACACCGAGCTTACACGCTGTACTTTAGTGCGATGTTGCTATTCTGTGCATTTTACTACTAAGAGTGCTCATACAAATTGTTTGGTTTAAATTCAGCGCCAAACTACGATCGCACATCGCGACACAATTTGCTATAGCATCCAAACATTTGGCCGCCTGGCGGTCCGCCACTGTGCGATTTATCGAGAGATACACCACCATTGCACCATCCCCGCACGACTTTTTCGTGGAGTTGACTGCCATTGGCTTTCTTCGGAATGAAACGATACTTAAGGGGGGTTTAATATATAATGTTTTATTAGTTAAGATCCGTCCGGTAGGACTTAAAAGTGGCGTTATTTAGATTTAAGATGATCAGGGACCATTTATTTTACCAATATTTCGTTTTTAAAAATCTTTAATATTTTCCGGATACAATATAGCCCGTAAGTCTATGAATATAGCCTCGGACAGATACACAAATATTTTAAAAATGGTTAACCATGTCTTATTGGTTGCAAATGATTCTCTCAGCTTAAAATAAAGTTCAATTTTATTTATATGTATAAACTAGCTAGGTACCCGCCCGGCTACGCATGGGTGGGACCTATTAATGTCACTTCATTTAGATCATCAATGACCATTTCTTTTATCAGTTTTTCAATTTCAAAAAACCTTTAACTTTTCCGCATAAAATATAGCTTAAATTACTTCTGGCGTTGTCCTTTATTCGTTCGTAGTTTGCTAATAATAAAAACAATCGTTTCAGCCATACTGATGATTAGCTCGGATAGACAGAAACATACAAACAAAAATTCATGTCTTAGTGGCATGAAAATAATTGAGCTCGATATAAGGCAGTTATTTCAATATCTTTTTTTATAAGACATACCCCACAATAGGATTTTCTCCAGTATCGTGGAGGCAGTTTACATTTATAAATTTCACAAAGACAACCAAACCAGAAATAATTATTATATGTATGTAGAATTCGAACCCGCGACCTCAGCGCCACGGAACCTTGTAATATTAGGTACACACAGACATTTCCATTTTATTTATATGTATAAATAAGCTGCGATTTTATTTTAGGAGGAAATGGTTACATTAATGATTATCCAACTGGAAGAATACTCAGAGACGCCAAACTCTATGAGATTGGTGCAGGAACATCAGAAGTCAGAAGGATGCTAATTGGAAGAACATTGAATAGTGAATATAAATAAAATATAAAAAATATAATTTGATGTTATTCATTTATTATTATATCAACAACAATTCCGTATTGTGATAAAATTAAAACGTAGGCGTTTTCTTTTTATTGACTCTTATGACAATAACAAAAGAAACTGGGTTTGGGCCAATTTTCCATAAAATGTTTCACAGGAAGCTAATTTTTGGATATGTCTATGTCCAGCAATGAACTCAAAAAGGCAGTTGTTGCTATAAGGCTTGGATAAATTTTCAATATTTTTACTGATTAATACCATGTAGGAAGAAATTACTATAGATGGGGTACACTGAGTTTTGTGTAATATATAGGTACGTAACGAGATTTTAGAGACCAGTAGCTATTATATCGATGATTTACCGCAATTACGTTTGGCAAAATGGCTAACGACACTGTTATATTTGATCGGTGTACACAAAACTGTGATAAAGAGAGAAGCTCTTTAGTTGAATATATTAGGTGTCTATCAGCATAGCTTTTATTTCACCAACTTCATTTGCTATCAAGTTATCTGACGTAAATAATAGAAAATTAAGTGCACTGTGAGATTTTTATCTTTATTTGATGGGATAGTTCGGATTAGACATACAATGATATAGGTGCAAAAGCTTTTGTATTCTATGAATTTTATTTAAACAAATACGAGCCTTGTAGAAAGCCGTGAGATTTCATCATGTCACGGGAGCAAAACGTATACGATTACCTTGAGGACAAATTAATTTGCTATAGGAAATTTTACGTGCCGGCTTATCACTAGTCCGATGATGTGGTGAAAAACAACTTCATGGGAAAATTAGATGTCTGAGTAGTTAAAAAGTATTTTAATCGCAATTTAAAGTGTCGATTTATCACGTTTTCGGCAGTAAAGAAAAACATCGCGAGGAAGCTTGCATATTTGGTTTCCCTGTTGTGATCATCCCGTGTTGGGGTCAGTGCAGGGAACACTTTTTTGACCGAAAATTATCTGCGGCCTGTGCCCAGTAATCACAATTACGAGATGTAGGCTCTTACTTTTTTACTTTTAATGGGGAAATTATGCGTAGAACTCATCATCGTCATCATTACAACCTATCAAAAGTCCACTGAAATGAACATAGGCCTCCCCAATGAATTGTCAAAGAGGCTGGATATTTGCAGTGACGATATGAGGTGGCGGATTCGCTTTCGCCGCCGCGACAAGGCGAACATCTTTCTACTCCTGTTCACGAGTGTGCTTCTTTCCACATTCATTGTGAATACAACATCATTTGGAATAAAACTAATTTTAAGAATTTTATCATGTTTAATTTTAAAAAAAATTAACAATTTACTCACACATGGTCATGAACTGAGGTATTTGACGTCCTGATGTTCATAGTTAATAAATGGTACTCTCAATTTTTAATTATTATTAATGTTTGGTCCTATCACATATCTACACAGAACGGGCTTACAATATCTTGAAGTCTTGCAGTAGTATGCTTAGGTTTGGATTTTATTAATTATGGGATCCCAAGCAGATGGTAACACTCAGCTATCTTTAATATTGAAATCAGGATGTTTTCTTTAAATTTCAATAGCTTACGTCTACATTCAATAGTCTTTGAGAATTCAAAAAAATTGTTTGACAAACAGACATAGAGACACAGACATCGAGGTGACTCTAATAGTGATTGAATTTTGCTAAATTTGGCGTGGAACAGCATTTATTAATGTTTCTAAATTGAAGCCCCTGCGAGCGAAGCCGCGGGTAAAAGACTAGTTCATAAATAAAACAATTTATATGTAAACAAATTTTTCATATGTTCAAACCATTTTTGGAAAGATAAGGATCATCGGTTGGAGGGCATGTTTTTAATGTGCTGGTTGAAAGTTATCACCGCCTCTTTTGGCTCCATAAATGTCAAACCTTGGAGTTTTGGGGAATAAAAATATTGCACGGTGCTATGTCTGGATTGTGTGCAGGATTGGTCATGAGCTCCACTTTTCAGAAGGCAAAAATGGCTTTTTCTTGTTCACAATGTGCAGCGAAGTGTTGTCATGGGTGACTCCTTTGCTGTTTTTCTATAATTTTGTCAGACACTGGGCAAACAAATGATGGTGTACATATTCGTCAGCATTAACTGTCTTTTGGTCATCAAGTAGTACTGTGCAGACAGAACTCATCTGGAAAAACCATCGCCCACTCATCATGCTTGCCTCAATTTCATTTATTTGCTATCACCTTTGAGCACACATACAGAAGGCTTGCTTTCTTTTTGGAATGTAAAAATATAGCTACGTTTCATCTCCTGACACAATGTCATACACATAATATTAATATTCGTGATTATAGTTCAACATTTTTTTACACCAATCAACTCGAGCCAGTATTTGCTTTCATGAGAAAGCCAGCAACAATTTTTTTTTTGAGTTTGGCTTGGTCTGATACCTAAATGTCCTTGAATATCTTCATATGTGATGCGCCAGGTTTCCTCAATTTGTAGTCTGACAGTAGCCACATTTTGTCAGTGATCACAGTTGTTGGTCGGCCTACACAAATTTCATTATGGAGGCATACAGGGCCACAACAACTGCTTACCAATGGCTTATGGTGTTAAAAACTTTTTGTGTTTATTCCATTCTTGTAACAGGTGACTAATTTCAATTTGTGATTAAAAAACAAGTGACATGCAACTTCTCGCCAAAAATATTTTAATCTTATGAGTTTCTTGTGTTTTAAAAACACAAGAAAGAGCGGCTAGGAGCGCAGAACTTTCAATGTACAAGATGTAACATAATGTAAATAATGAAGTTACACAAAGTAACAACAATTCTAATAATAATTGTTATAAGTAAATTTGTCATTCCCACCAAAAACTTACTGAAAAACTGACCGATAATGATTCAACACAATGCCACCATTTGGGTGGTATAAATAACATTTGTCCCGGATTTAAAGTACAATAGTATGGTGTAGCTTCCTTATATTTGGGGTATTTTTCCAAGTTAGGCTTTCTAGGGTCCACTTTGGCTGTATTATGTAACAACTCGGAATCATATGGATATAAATAATCAGAATCTTTTGGTGAGAAAAGAAACATATGTTTTCTACCAACTACTTGAGCTAACAAATTTTTTTTTGCATCATAATGTAGTGGTGACAAGGTACCTTTAGGGCCAAACCATGCCATAGTGTCTACACTATCATTAACATCAGAAAAGCAGCAATATTCAGGCTCTGCAATATCATTTTTCAGTTCCGGGATGTGTTCAAAAAGTTGATACTGAGCGAGATAGCCCACTGGTCCATTTGAGTTAAATATATGATTCTTTATAAATTCTTCCAATGTCATTAGTTTTTGAGTCCATTCAGCATTCGTATAATCTCTACCTAATTCAACTGCTACTGTTCTCAAACCAGCAAGCTTTAAAAAGTAATTCTGATCTTTCCATTTCTCCATTGCTGGCCAATGGTTTATACAATTTTCTAAAACTACAGGTTTCTCTTTTAAAATATAGTCTCTTAAAAATGTCTCCATACTTGGACAATCTAAAATATCAATTGATGTCAAATTATTAAAATTATTTTCAAACACTACAGCACTGGTTGTTTCTGAATTTAAGTATTCATTAATATACAGCTGCGAAGCAAATGGATTTATAACTGATGCACACTTTTGTAATAACTTTGGTTCTTCATTAAGTGGACACCCAAAAAGGATACCATGATCAATTATCATAAATGACTCTTTGATGAAGTCCTCTGTCAGTCTAATAGAGTGTTTCAAGTGGACCAGTAGTTTTAAATATGATGCAATTGTTATTGTTTTTCTTAAGTATAATTTTACATCTTTCCATTTCCCAGAATTAACTTGTTCATACATATAGTCAAGCACTGCCTGGATTTTTAACATTGAAGTTGAATTAAGTGAATTCAAATTATTTAGATAATTTACAAGTAAGGATTTGCAAGTGATATCGAGATCAGTTAATCCTTGCAACTCAGATATAACTTTACTTTTGAATTGTGTAATTTTTTCATAGATTTCTTCCATTTGTAAAAATAGATGGAACTAATACAACATACCAACACACACTTATAAGTATGTAATCACTATGTTTACAACGGTTTACACCACTAATCGACCAATGTTGTCTTTGTTCAAATAGTATAAAATAACCTACGTTTACATACTTAAATTATATTATTATGAGGTTGAGAATTTCATTAGTCTTTTAAGCTTTGTTGAAAAAAACTTGGTTTGTTCCTATGTAATATACTTATTAAGTAAGTACAAACAAGAATTAAGTGTCTTTTACTTCATTAAATAGTAGTAGTACTTAGAAAAATACTAATCTTATCAAAATAAAATTAGCTTGCTACATATTTATTTATCTATGAAATATGAATAAAATAGCTAAATGATACTTCGATCTTAATGTCAGGTGTCAACTGTCACTGTCATAGGATAGTAGCATAGATATTACTGTACGTTCCGAAATAGTAGGGATTGTCTTATTTAAAACTGAAGCCATTATTATCTTAGAGCATACTGCTCTAAGATAATTATATATTATATTTATTCCATTGACGATGCAAAGATTCTAACTAGCGCCTCTAGTGTCAAAATTGTGAATCTGTCTAAGAACGACACTTTGACAGTTTTCGTAACAGTTAACGTCAGGGAAAAACATAAATATTAAATACAAATAAGATTTATGTGGCATTTTGCTGTTTTAAGACAATAATTATGTTGTCAATAGTCGATGTAATTAATGCGTCTACAGGATACACAAAACCAATGCGTTCTGGTGAAGAATTAAATACACAGTGGAATGGTGATTTCGGTTGGAAAAAAAGAGAAAAATAATAACATAATTCACGTACAAGCACTGGTACTGCGCACGTCGGGATTAAATTCCAAACATCCAGCCATTATAAAACTGTGGATAGATGTATCTCAAGAATATGGAAATAGATTAGTTGGTGATAATGAACAAGAAGTCACAAAGGTCTGCGATTGCCTTGCTGGAGCTTCAGAGAAATGTAAACACATATTAGCTGTCATGCTTTATCTCTCAAGGTTTGTGAATTGATGAATAACTTTTATATCCATTTGTCCTACCTCATCCATATGCACTATGAATACTATAAATGTTAAAGTCGGTACCTAATTTACTCTGGCTGTCTGTCTGTAACAATTTTACTGCCAGGTAATAGATAATGTAAAGTACTTACCTATATAAGTACTAAAATTAGACCATAATTGTAAATGATTAGCTATTTTTCTCTTTTTCAGAACTGAGGAGGCAGATCTGGAGGACCTGAGTTGTACCGACATTGAGAAAAAATGGGTTACGCTTAAAACTACAGCATTGAAGGAATACGAAGCAAAATCATTGTCTGAAATGTGCCATGTAAAAGGACAGAGGGACATCTATGTGAAAACAATGCCAGAAGTCACTGAAGAGATGGAAAGTCGTTGGAGAATGAAGTTAATGCAGAGTAAATACGAGGGTGGATTGAAAAGTACTCGGCCTAACCAAGAAAATAAACACATACTAAATCAGTTATATTTTTATTTTTCTACATAATCACCATCAAGTTCAATACACTTTTGCCACCTCCCCTTCCAAGCATTTAGACCGTTGAAAAAAAAATGATTCTTCCTTAGAGTCAAAATATGCGTCTACAGCTGCTTTGACCTCGTCGTTTGTCGAAAATCTTTGACCTCCCAAGTGCTTTTTTAGGTTAGGGAACAGAAAGAAGTCTGATGGTGCCAGATCAGGTGAATACGGCGGATGCGGTAACAGTTCAAAGCCACAGTTGTGAATTTCAGCCATTGACTGTACTGACGTGTGAACACGGGCGTTATCTTGATGAAACAGGACTTTTCTTCTGAGCATTCCTCGACGTTTTTCTTTTATTTCCTCTCGTAAACAACGTAGTAAGGTGCAGTAGTAATCAGAGTTTATAGTCTGACCCCTTTCAAGATAATCAATCATAATCACACCTTTCGAGTCCCAGAATACTGAAGCCATCACCTTATTTGCCGACAAAATCGACTTAGCCTTTTTAGGGGGTAGTGAACCAGGTCTTCTCCACTGTTTTGATTGTTGTTTTGTTTCCGGTGTACAGTAATGAACCCATGTTTCGTCCATAGTAACAAAACGATTCAAAAAATCATCTGCATCGGCTTCAAATAACTCCAAACAGTCGCGTGAAATGGTCAATCGCGTCCTTTTTTGTTCAACTGAAAGCAGTCGTGGAACCCACCTAGCAGACACCTTGTGAAAACCCCAACTCGTTGACAATGATGTTTTGAGTTCGTTCATAAGAGATGCCTATAATCTCGGCTATCTCTCTAATTTTTAATCTGCGGTCTCCCATTATTAAATCAAGTACTTTTTAATATTTTCGTCAGTAGTTGACGTCGAAGGCCTTCCAGAGCGGGGTTCATCTTTCACACTCTCTCTACCACGCTTAAATTCTGCTATCCATTTTTTGACGGATGAATATGACAGAGCACAATCGCCTAATGTACTGACCATGTCATTATGGATGGCTTTTGATGATAGCCCCTTCTTATGGAGGTACTTAATGACGGCACGCTGCTCGATTTGCTCCATTCGCGGAAATTATGTCCGATTACTTTGTTAATAAATTTATAAAATCACAACTAATTATCGCACACGTTTCGAACTTCACACAATGAACTAGTCTGAACTGAACTAAATAATGTGGGTAGATTTGATTTTTAGAATTGAATGGATCTGTGTTAGGCCGAGTACTTTTCAATCCACCCTCGTACTTGTAAAGCATAAGAGTATATGGCACCTACCTGGAAAATATCAATTTGATAAAAATATTATATTTGCAGATTGAATGTACAGTTACAAACTAAAATGAAGTTTCAAAAATTATGTTGTTTATTTCAGGCACACCAAACAGTGAATATTCTTTATTTACAAGTCTCATGCGAAGAGGTGATGGAGTTATTGATTATGGTGAAAGGGTAATTAGTAGAAGTGTAGACAAGACAAAATTTCCTGAAAAACTATTGACTTTTAATTTGTGGCGGGTAATGAATGTATTAAGAAAACTAACTGAAGAAAAGTTGAAGACGTGAAGCAAATGAATTTGAATTTTACAACAGATATGTAGCTGTATCATTAGACCAAAGTACAGAAATAATCAATGCTGAGCAGGGTACTCCTTCTTGGCATAAAGCTGGAAAAGTAAGACTAACAGCGTCCAAAGCGAGAGCCCAGTTTACTTATTATTCTAATAAAAATGCTGATTGGGATAAAAGATATCAAGAGGTTTTTCACAGTAACTTCCTTGGGAATGAAGATACTATCAGAGGCCTTCGCTGTGAAGCAGTCGCAAGAGATTTATCGGTGGATCGAGACCCGTAGACAGAGAAACCTATAGACTAATGATTAGCGTGGCCTCGAGTGAGAAAGGAAGATAACGTAGTTTTAGGTTATACAATAATCTTTATGACTTTTAAACATATTTAGATAAAATTTTTAATTATTCTAAGAGCTGAACTGAACAACATTCACCAATCTTAAGCTCACAAAACACTTTTTTCTCACTTAAACAAACTTGTAAACTCCTTAGATCGCTACGAACTGTCAAAGTTGCTTAGCAAATTGTGGTTTGCTATACAAAAAAAAATCGGCACGGAGAAAGGGACAAACAATCACACCGCTCTGTCTCATTTTTATGCAAGACGTATCCATAAATCTATCTTTTTCGTGTGCGAATGCGAAAGAAGGCGTCACTTTGTCTATAGGTTTCTCTGTCTACGCGATCCACAGACCTCATAATATTTAAGAAACTATAGATTTAGTTTATACTATGTCGTACTATTTCTATGTAAGAAACTGTGGTTCAGGATTGACCTTGACCGCTAGTTTGAAAACGGAAAATATTTTTACTTTTATTAGTCTATGGAAAATCATATGACTTTCGCACGTGATCTGTCAAATTATTTACAACTACATATACCGAAGTTGTGTTTTATCAAAAACATAAATTATTTATTTATTTGAAGGTACTTGTGGTAATAATTATATGATTTAAGATGTCTGATAATAGTGACCACGAGAATATTGTGAAATGTTTTGTGTGAGGCAATGGCATTGTTCGATAAAATCTTTTCAACAAAGAGAAAACTTGAATACGTTGATCGAGACTCAAGAAACTGGGCTAGGTATGTGGTAGTAGGAGCTTTTCATTCATTTGACTATTTTTATGATTGTGGCATGCAACTGTAGAGCTGACGCACGAATCTTCGTTGTTTTGTCAACGACGAAGGTGTTCGTTTACGTACGCATCACAAATTTGTTCTGACGCACGCAAACAGTGGCGGTTCAGTTAGCGTCAACGGCCAATACTACGAGAGACGGCAGGTACGAGCATGTGATAAGCGCGGGTAGCGGGACGCAGGCGTGGGCGCAATGATCACGTCACTGTCAAAGAGGGGAGACTCAATTACATTGATGTTTACTTATTATTTACTCGCGCTCGCGGGCTAGTATACTTGCACATTCCACTTGGTGCGGCCGATTGGCAGTTGTCATTCGGCCATCAATGTGCATTTAAATTAAAAGTTTCTGTATAGCAATTTTGTGGGAAGTGTTTATATGTGGCAAAAACTTGTCTATTAATTGTTGGTAAAAAACTGTGAACAATATCCATAAATGATTATGAAATAAAATGAAATTTAGGTAATTTTTGCAGTGTTTTCCATTACTCCTTGTTATCTGATAACTATTATCTTAACACATGTATGTAAGTAGGTAACTTACTATATTATGATAATTTATCAACTAAGTAAACAGTACAATTTTCTAAAAACAGGTGATATTAATTAGTCAATTTCATGGCTATATGGCTGCACAGTTGTTTGGTGACAATGAGTATGTCATTATATGTACAAGAAGAAGTTTTATTATTATTATTTTGACAACAATCACAGTTTAATTGGTAATTTTGGTGAAGCTCTTGAATTGCCATCTCATCTACGAGGCATTCTATGGTTGTATGAATATAATGATGAATGAATTTTATTTAATATAGGTAGTAGTAGATAAGTAAATAATAGCTAAAGGTATTAACCCTACAAGGCTCAATTTTTTTTCTGTTGCTAATAAAAATATATGTGATGTGATTAGTGATGAGTACTTGGAAAAAAATAATTAAAAAAATCAAAACCCAATATTTTACTACAAAATCAGTTTTTTATTTTGGTTCCATATGTGGTACACTGAGCCTTTACTATATTTTTTGACATTGAGCTGTATCTTTTAAATTACTAGTAGAAGAATATGTTACCATTTGAATTATGTTGAAGTGTGATTTAACAAATTAAATAACAAATAACAAAATATTTATAACAAAACAAAATAACTTTTTTTGTAGAGTACCGATTGGTGAAAGTTCAACTCGACATTTTTTACACGATATAAATGTTTTTCCTTTTCAACCGGAGTATTTACAGCATTGGCTTTTTTGACCCTAAATTGGAAAATGCTCAAACCCATCACATCTGAATCCACAAGGGATTAGGATTGCTGTATTTGGATTCTTTTTCTTTATATCAATTTGCTCAGGCAAACGGTCAAACTTGAAGTCCTTTAGTTTTAGTGGGGTTGTTGTTTCCTTTTGCTCCCCAACTCTTCTGTACAGTAACCAGCTATTTATAACAAAAACATTGAGAAAATTATAAAAAAGCTTCAAATACCATTTTCTCGACCTTATTTTTATTTCATATTTCCCCAGGAATAAATTTACTCATCAACAGATAGTGCCCCTCTTTTAGGGATACTTAGATATTTTTTCAGTTTCCAATATTGGTCTTATTTTATATAAACGTATTATCATTTGGTGTATCTGAGTAGGTGAGAGTGAGGTGGTACCTGGTAGTTGCGCAGTGTTGTCATTGAAATGCAGGAACTGGATTTTTTTTTTGAAATTTTTTAGCGACACTGTCTCCATAATCAGAGAAATACCCAATTCAGGTGCCCAATACATTCGAATATTTAGCAATGGTAACAAGCTCATAATCAGACAGACACCTAAAAACTTTTTCAATTCTTTAAGTGAAATGTTGAATGGTTTTGAAGATTTTTTTAAATTCTAAATTTGTGTCTGAAAATCTTCTACAATATGCTCTAGTAGTTCATCCTCAAGAAACCAGGAAAATATTGAACCGGACTTTTCAATTCTATAATTGGTGACTGTAAGTTTACGTTTCCAGTAAACTGTGAATATGGTGATGGAAAAGATTTTTTTCAAATAAACTTTCTTTTCTTCAGTTTGGTGACAGATGCAGAGCCATGTTATCTAGTTCTGCTAGCAAAAGCAATACTCACAAAAGTCGATGATCGTCTCTTTTCACGTGACTGTCTGTTGTTACCTGAAGTTCTCGCTGAAGTCACGCCTGAAGTACTAGGTTGAGTGTTTATTATTTGCTGCACGCTCGATAAATGAACATCTACGTTAGTGGGAGACAAACGGAGATGTCTCTGCGGTGATGTTTCTATATCATCAAGGGATTCAGAGAAAAAATGAAGGTAGACCGATTTTTTTTATGTACTCATCACTTCCAGCTTCAGAAAAGTCTTCGCCATCTTCATTCCTTAATGGTATACCCAAGAAATTTATCTATCTCGAGTCTCTTCATCGCGCAATCGTTTGCTCTACATAATTTGTTATAAATAAAAGTGTTCATAAGTACACTTCTCGTAGGTACGTAATCGTAAAAAGGAAGACTAAAGCTCAACGTACCGTATGTGGAACACAGATTAAAATACGATTTATTAATAACTATAATAAAATAATAGAAAAACTAACTTACCTCACCAAAATAAACACTTTTTTACAACACGTTATATTTTTTTCGGACCAAAACCCTAATGTAACAATATTTTATTATTTATTTAATTTACGCAAATGTCAAACGCAAATTTTTGGTATAATTTTCGCTGTTTACTGACAGTAATCAGATCAAAAACGACATCTACACACAATTGTTTGTGTTATATCATTGCTAAATTTTCAGTATATCCCTTAGAAACGAGGAAATTTCTCTGCTAGTATTTCATAAAGCTGTAGGAACCATAAAAGTGGTTGTCCCGCATATGGTACTGAGTGCCTTGTAGGGTTAAAATCCACACTATGTAAGTGTAAATATTAGGTCCAACAATGAGCATAGTGAGCAGGAGCTTTAGTTTACTTGTAACCACAATTTCAGAAGAAGGATTTTATGTCTTTTCTTAGTGTACGATCTGTAGGTTTGTAGGAATTGGTGACACCTATCCCCCCTCTCACTCCTCCCTCAACCTTCCATCAAGGTGACTAATTTTGTTTTGAAAGTATCAGTAGTCAGATTTTATAAATGAGTTAACAAATTATAAATTTCCACAGTTAGGGAAGTGCATGGGTAAGGTCACCTTCCCTTCCTCTTCCCCCCCTCCCACCTTGTGCTACTGGATGCTAAAAAACTTCTATTTCTTTACAGTAACAGCATATATATGTTTCAATGCTGGGCAACAGGCCTCCCTTCATTTGATTCTTCATTTCACAGAGAGGATTTTTAGGGAAAGGAAGTGTCTGCTGCGCTGCCCCAATGCATGTTGGCGAACATCACATGTCTTCGAAATATTTTTTTTCTTATTTTCCAGACATGCAGGTTTCCTCATGATGTTTTCCTTCACCACCGAGCATGCGATAAATCATTGGTACCGGCGGGGATCCAACACGGTTTTCTTGCATAACATAAAAATATTAAGTACATATCTTAGTTGAAATACTGAAGTGGGCTGGGTTTTACTGTTGAATAATAGATGCTAGATTGCCAGGGTAAAAATAAATTGAGATATATAGTTTTAATGAAATGCTGAAAACAGCTATCAAATTAAAAAATTTATGTAGTTATGATTTTGTAACTACTAGTCACTTCAGTTCATTTCATTTCCTATTACCATATTAAAACTGTAAGTTTAATAAAGAGATTTTTTGGTAGGTCCAGTGAAATAACGCCGGAGCAAGTGAGACTGCTATTATTTAAAGAGTGTGACTGGAGAGGGAGAAAGGTTCTCTTTGATTCATCAACAATAGAGAGGGTTCCTGTTATTAAAAATGAGAAACCAGACCTGCAAACGAAGGATCAGCTGCCATATATTGTGGAGATGTCAAATGGGTTTTGTTACATGGTAGGTTCACATATTATGTATTTTAAATCAATAACTTATAGATAAATCATATTACTGTGTAGTGGTGGTATAAGAATAACCATTACCATATTTCATCCCGTGGGTGTTGTAAAAGGGAACAGAGGGAAACAAAACAGGCGATGATTAGTAGTGTCTTCTCAGTAACGACTGCAAAATCCAGCATCCAAGCATCCAAGCATAGCACCTAAGGCAGTGATCTCCTTTATGAGGCAATGTGTGGACTTTGATAGGTACTGTAATTAATGAATTATTAATCTCATTACACAAATTAATATTATATAAATATTGTATTATATGAATTAAATTCATAAGTATTCTTTAAAAATTAAGTAAATATTTTGAATGGGAATCCGACACTGAGTATCTAGCTATTTTAATAATTTCTGCACCTTTTTTTTGTGTGATGTTTCTATATCCAATAATATACCTATTTGATATGATTTAGTAAGTCTTGTGATTTTTAGGTAAAATTATTTTTGTGATAATCTTTCTCACTCTGACACTGCATCAAATGTTTGTCTTTACATGAAAACAATACATGGAGTTTGTAGAACTGCCAGTAGTTTACACTTCAGTGGTAAAATCAAGCAGCAAATCTAAAATAGAATAATTGGTTTATACTATTATACTAGGCATTGTATTTATCTATGTATTATTTTCTTGGATTTTGTCCTCAAATTTTATTGCAGACTCAATTCAAATGCAAACTCAAAAAATGCAGACTCAAAAAAATTATTCTTAATTCCCTAATTAAGAATAAATGCTTTTGTCTTTATGTATGTGTGTGTAAGTACAGTGTCAAAAGAAAGTCTGCCTTTCAAGTGTGGTAATTAAAATAAATCATCCCTTCAATGGTAGAGTTTTATGTTTAGCAGTGGACATTTATAGGTTGATGAAGATGATGCACTTGCAGCAATATAAGTAGAAAATGAAGTTGCTTTTCCTTTACTTTTATATTTTTTGTTTAAAACTTTACTACTGTCATATGGATCTTTAAACCTATCTTCACAATTTGTTGGTTTTCGGTTAGTTCAGTTTACAATAGACTATTTACTGCAACACGTGTATTTTCGCGTGGGCAGGATTAATGTGGTTATTCGAGACATGAAATCACCTCCAAGAACTTCAGCAGTTCTTTGATGTTGCCAACGACATTGGGGTGCGAGCTCGGCGTGCCGAGATGCTTAACCCTGTATGTGACGATTTTCGGACAAACCAGTAGCCCGTGGGCTGCCGTTTCTTTCTCTCTCAAATACGTTCTAGATAGGGGACTGTCCTATAACACCTATGGCGAATAATGTAGTGCATCAAGTGATTGAGTGTTTTATACCCTTTGCTGACATAGTCATCGGTGGCAAAGCTCGCCCTTGGATTAATGTCGAATGTGCCTAAGCTGAAAAGAGTTTGGCGTGGGTAAATGCTCGAGACCACAAGGCGAGACCGGATATCAGCTCTAATAAGCTTTCTTAAGGATTTCAATGTGGCCACCAAGTCCTATAAAAAAGCTTTGCAAAAAGCTACTTTCAACTGCATTAAACATATTGGCTCAAAACTGCCAGACCATCCGGCAGTAGAGCTTTTTGGTATCTTGCCTAAGTGGTCAAGAAAACTTCTGTCGGCCTTCTATGCCTCTGCTGGTAAAGCCAGATGACACATTAGCAACTAAGGCTAAAGAAAAAGCGAACTTATTCGTGTCTCTCTTTGCTTGTAATTAATGTCTAGACAATCAGGGCCAAAGCTAGGTGTCCTTGCAAAGATGCTGCAATACATCACGCCTGAACAGTTGTTTACACTATATAAAGCACCAGTCCTGTTGTGCATGGACTACTGCTGTCATATAAGGGCTGCTGCTGCATAATGCCACCTAGCGAATTTGGACTCCATAAAAAAGCGTGCTAAGAGACCTATTGGTGACGTTAGTATGGTTAGAACCAATCTTACAAGCCTCGAGCACAAGCTCAAATATCCAGCCTTTCGGTTCTTTATAGGGTCAGTGCACTTTAATATATTCGGCTGCATCACCACTTACCTTCAGGTGCTATAGTAGTCAAGCACTGTTTATAATAGTAAAAAGGGTTGATAAAAGAATCATGCCCTGTAGTAGCACTTGGTCTGTGGATTGTTTAGTCTTATTAGAAACTTGCTTAAAGGTTTTTATTACTGGCAGGGCTTCCTTAGCTTATCTATAGTCTTCTAGATTTTTCCAATGAGCGTGTTGATTAGTATAGTGCTTACGCACCAGTGAATGAACTTTTCCAAATAGATGAATGAAATGAATAAATCAGTATGATCGGTTCCGGTTCTATGGTATCTAGAGATCCACTTCTGGCTAGTTCGTCTCCTGTGTCATTGCCCCTGAATTTACTGTATCCCTTGATTAATTGTAAGGTCACATTATTGTTTTTACTTACTTCATTTATTTGTTGATGGCATTCGTATATTAGCCCTGAGTTTGTCACATTGTAGAGCTGAAGAGGTTATTTTTTTAGAATAACGGTGACAAACAAGCACACAGTCCACCTGATGGTAAGTTGATGCTGTGGCCCATAGACATCTACATTTATCCTCGAATAAGAATCAAAACGCAGATGTGTTGTCATCACCCCTGAGGACTAAGATGGAATGCCTCATTTCCTGTAAAAAAGGGTCTCCGGATCTCTACGCTTACCATTACCAACACAGCAGTATTAAGCTGCTATTTTACGCTGGTATTCTGTGAGGCGTGGTCCTTCCTCAGTCGAGCCGTCCCATTCGTGCTACAACCATAATATAGCTGCAGCGTGGCTCTACCACATATAAAAAAGAAAGCCATTAAGACATGGGTAACAATTTTTAAAATTTTAGTGTCTGTCTGTCGGTCTGCCTGTCCATGCTAATCTTCGGAATGGCTGAACTTGACTTGACTTGATTTGACAAGATAGGTCTTTACGTGGTAGAGCCATGCTGCAGTTATATTACTAGTATAGTTGTAGCATGAATGGGTTGGCTCGACCGGGTAAGGACCACGCTCTCACAGAATACCAGCGTAAAATAGTAGCTTAATGCTGCTGTGTTTCGTATGGTGAGTGTAGAGAACTGGAGACTACCTTTTTACTGGAAACGAGGCCATTCCATCTTAATCCTCACGGGTGACAACGCATCTGCATTTTGATTCGTAATCGAGGATAAATGTGTATGTTTATGAGCCACAGCAACCACTTACCATCAGGTGGACTGTGTGCTCGTTTGTCACCCTATCCTATAGAGTGCGGTTCTAGGAGTGATCTAAAAATGGTTAAAATAAATAGTCTTGATAATTATCTTAAATCTAAATATAGCCGCATTAATAGATTCTACCCAAGCAAAGCCGGGACGGGTCGCTTGTAATTAATGTATTTAGTATTATAGCGAGACGCGCCTTCTCAACAATGCTCACAAACCATCCTAATTCATATGCGAAACCTTATCATACTGTGAATAAAAATAACACAACAATTGAGACATTGCGCCGTCACGAGACTTCCAATTCTCCGTTTATTCCTGCTACTTACGTTCTATATTTGACCACTTTAGACGTTAGCATTTTTGATTACAACAAACGTCGTATGTGGGACTAATGTACTAAGTGTCGAGGCTTTAGTAGGTTTTGTTTAATACATGAATGTCTCCAACACACACTTCCAGTTATGGTAGTGTTGATTGATTGAAGACACTGTAATGGTGCTTACAAATATTCGTTTCGTTCGCTTCCTATTTTTGTTACTCAAAGATTCTTGGCCGTTGATTTTCTCATCTACAGACTACTGTTTTGGGTGGTGCTAAATTATCAAACGAATGTAGTATGTTTTCATCATCATCATCATTACAGCCCTTCAGAAGTCCACTGCTGAACATAGGCCTCCCCCAAGTAATGCCACAAAGCACGGTCCTGAGCCACCTGCATCCATCGACTTCCTGCATGTCTTACCAGGTCGTCACTCCATCTAGTGGGGGGTCGCCCTACACTACGCCTACCGGTACGAGGCTGCCACTCGAGAACCTTTCTTCCCCATCGGTTATCGGTTCTTCGAGCTATATGGCCGGCCCATTGCCACTTCAGCTTACTAATCCGTTGGGCTATGTCGGTCACTCCGGTTTCACTGCGGATATCCTCATTTCTGAGTCTATCACGCAGAGAAACTCCGAGCATAGCCCTCTCCATAGCTCGCTGAGCGACCTTGAGCGTCCTCATACGGCCAGCAGTGAAGGACCACGTCTCAGATCCGTAAGTCATCACTGGCAACACGCACTGGTTGTACACTTTAGTTTTCAGAGATTGAGGTATACCTGACGAGAAGATGTGTCGTAATTTCCCGAACGCTGCCCAGCCGAGTTGAATCCGTCGATTGACCTCTCGGTCGAAGTTGGACTTACCTAGTCGGACTATTTGTCCCAGGTAAACGTACTCGTCAACAACTTCGAGCATAGTGCTCCCAACAACTACCGGCATAGGTGTGACATGGACATTAAACATGATCTTTGTTTTGTCCATGTTCATCTTAAGACCTATCCGTTGGGAGACACCATTGAGGTCATTGAGCATAGTGCTAAGGTCCTCCAGCGATTCTGCCATAAGGACTATATCGTCGGCAAATCGAAGGTGAGTGATGTACTCGCCATTGATGTTAATACCGTATCATTTCCAGTCCAGTAGCTTGAAATCGTCTTCCAATGCAGCGGTGAAGAGTTTCGGGGATATAACGTCACCCTGTCTTACCTCTCTGCAATTGGATAGGTTTCGAGCTCTGATTCTGTACTCGGATAGCCATCGTAGCCCTACTGTACAAACACTTCAGCACATTGTACTCTTCGGTCTTCTGTACAATCTGCCGCAGGGTATGTATGTGGTCTATGGTACTGAAGCCTTTTCGGAAACCGGCTTGTTCGGGAGGCTGGAAGTCTTCGAGTCTGCGTGCGAGACGATTCGTAATGACTCTCGAAAACAGCACGTAGACGCGGCTTAGAATGGAAATCGGTCTGTAGTTCTTCAAGAGAGCGTTGTTGGCTTTCTTAAAGAACAAGACCACCGCACTTCTGCTCCACGCCTCCGGAGTAGTGCCACCATGGAGGACGAATTGAAGAGCTTCTGAAGGACTTCAAGTACCGGTGTTCCACCCGCATTCAGAAGCTCCGCTGTAATTCCATCCTCGCCTGGGGCCCTGGTGTTTTTAAGGTGCTGGAGAGCCATTCTAATCTCGCTCAGACTGACGTCGGGGATATCATCGGAATAGTGTCGGGTAAGACTTGCTCTTGGATCGTTACTCACACTTGCGTGTAGGCTCCAACGATGATGTGTACAGCTGCCCATAGAACCTCTCAATCTCACTCAAAATCCAGCTGCCCATCAGTCTTCAGCTTTGACAGTTGGCTCTTTCTGGCAGACAGATCTCTGGCAAAGACTTTGGAGCCCTGGTTCCGCTCGATCGCTTCTTTAATACGAGCAGTATTAAAGTTGCGTAACCCCCATGGAGATCTTTATTCTTACTCCCCCAGCCTAGATTAAGAGTGTGATCGGAGAGTTTTTGTGTTCTTCTGCGGCGGGTCTTGCAGAACTTAGCTCCGACCGCATGGACAGTTTCCACGAGCTTGTCATTCATATCGTCCACTGCATTGCAATCTTCTAAGCACTGAAAGCGGTTACGTAACTCGAGCTGAAAAGTCTCGGGATTCTGGATTAGAGCACGAGGGGGGACGGAGCGTTGACTTCATTAGACGAGACCTCTCCAACTTAACGTTTAGGTTCAGTGTGCCTCTAACCATTCGGTGATCGCTGCCAGTTTTCACCCTAGCGACCACTGAGACATCACTGAACAGTTGGCGTCTGGTCGTCATAATGAAGTCAATCTCATTTTTTGTCGAACCGTCGGGGCTCGACCAGGTCCACTTCCTGTGGGGTCGCTTCTGGAAGAAAGAGTTCATCATAAAGAATCCCTCTTTCTCCATAAAGTCAGCCAGCTGCTGGCCCCTACGGTTCCGTTGCCCTACTCCAAATTTCCCTAACTTCAGCTCACCGCCTTCTCTTGTGCCTAATTTTGCGTTGATGTCTCCCATCAACACCGTGTAGTGGGTTTTGGAGGAATGCATGGCTCTAGAAATATCCTCATACATTTCCTCCACCTCCTCATCGGGATGTGCCGAGGTTGGTGCGTAGACCTGTATGACCTTCAGCGAATACCGTTTGGTGATTCTGAGTATCAGGTACGCGACCCTCGTCGACACACTCCCAATCTTTACAACGTTGTTGACGAGAGCCTTGTGGACCATAAATCGACACCTCCTTGGGACAAATGGTCGCCCTCCCGGTGATAGAACAAGTTGCCGGACTCGAGGATTACCGTGTCCTCCCCCTCTCTTCGGACCTCAGATAATCCAATAATATGCCAGCGCAACTTGTCTACCTCTTCTTCCAGCTCCAGTATCCTCTCGTCAGTCCTCAGGGTGCGTGCGTTATACGTTGCCAGGTCGAGTCGTCGTAGGTGGCAACCGAACCTCCACCGGAGATTCTTAGCCATGCCTTTATTTGCCATATTATGACAAGGCCATGCTTCAGCTATATTAGTAGTATACTTGTAGCACAAATGGGTCGGCTCGACCGGTGAAGGACCACGGTCTTACAGAATACCAGCGTGAAATAATAGCTGAAAACCGCTGTTTTTCGTATGTTGAGTATGCCGTGTAACCGGAGACCCAATTTTACTGAAAACGAGGCATTCCATCATAGTCCTCACGGGTGAGTAATCATGGATAGATGTAGATGTCTATGGGCCACAGTAACCACTTACCATCAGGTGGACTGTGTGCTCGTTTGTCACTCTATCCTTTATTTATCCTTTCTATCCTATGTTACAAAAGAAACATAAATAAGTTTTGAGATTCTGTGTTTGTTGCAGAAGGTTTAAGCAAAATTACTTTTAGTGCATATTAATTTCAGAAATTGGTTTTTGGTTATTTGGTACAATACACGAAGTTGGTAACAAAATATAAAATCACAGAATACTGGCGCACATGCTGTTGTGTTTCGTATGGTTACTGTAAGAACCGGAGATCCATTTTATTGGAAACGAGGCATGCCATATTAGTTCTCAGGGGTTACAAAGCATCTATATTTTGAATCTTAATCGAGATAGATGTCTCTGGGCCATGGCATCCACTTTACCATCAGGTGGATTGTGTGCTCGATTGTCACCTGTATTCTATAAAATAAAATCAAAATAAATAAATGGATTTTCGTCATGTCCCAGCACATTTTACATGGCAAAGTCACGTTGCAGCGTATTATGGCTGCAGTATGAATGAGTCTGAAAACCACGGGCGGAGAACCAACCAATGGGTGGAGAAACACGCTTACACAGGATACCAACGTGAAATAGCAGCGTAACGCTCTTGTGTTTTGTGTGGCGTGACGAGAACCGGAAACCGAACAAAACAAATACTATTTTACAATTTTACCACGAAGCACTTAGGTCGCATCTATGTGCCTCGAAAGCATCATATCGGAAAGCATACGTTCCTTACGATGCAGAGGATATGAGGGATAAAGCAATACGCAGTGTAGAAGAGATAAAATGTAATATATTAATATTTTTGGAATCTGAGTCTGCAGACCTCAAATCGTGAGTTATGTTGATACATATTTGGACTTTAAAATGTCGGACGCATTGCAATAACTTCCAAATCGGCAGTTAATAATCTGAGAAGTGGATCTAACTTAATAATGTAACCACCTACATTGTTAAGTGTCTTCACCATTGCCAACAGCATTATATACCATCACAAGTCACTGCTTGAAGGTCCTCCCACAAGGAATATCTCAACACATGGTCCTGAGCCACCTGCATCCATTGACTTTCTGGATCCATTACCTGGTCATCATTACATTTATTAGGGCCCGCCCTTTTTTATGTGGGGAAATGCATACGCATACACGTGTCGCAGGGGCAAGGACGTGTTATGATGAATTACCAATATTTTGTCAGTTCAGGTTTTATTGACGGTGTAGTATGATAATGTTATAATTACTAAAGAGATACTTAAGTTTTAGAAAATTACTTAACGAATATTATAACATTTGTTGTATGCAGTACAAAGGGCCGGCGGCGGACGCGAACTTTCTTGGTGACATGATATTCGGCGCGGTCGCTATGAACTATAAGACCGTTTCCCTAAAAATTCACATCATGAATGAACCTAAGAGGTAAGTAATGTACTCAATGTTTTTAATAGTAACTATAAATTTGACATGATGAATTTGTCCGTAAAGAGCTATTGCTTAGAGATTTTATCAGAATTGCTACCTTTAACAAATGCCAAATAAGTATATTAGTTTTGAAGTTAAAGCACGTATTTTCACCGCTGTTCAGCTTTAGGCTTGGTTTGTTCCGATCCTTGAATCCGGAACAATTATTTGTAGGCCCTACAAATAATTGTTACGTGCGAGATTCGAACCGGCATCCAGGTACAGCCACGCTGCACCTATATTATGGTTGTGGCACGAATATGTAAGTCGTCTCGACCTGGGTAAGAACACGCTCTCACAGAATACCGGCGTAAAATAGCAGCTTAACGCTGCTGAGTTTCGTATGGTGAGTGTAGAGAACCAGAGACCCTTTTTTTACTAAATTTCGTCGTCGATTTTCGGGATTTCGTCTTAGTCCTCAGAGATAACAACGCATCTGCATTTTGATTCGTAATCGAGGATAGATGTAGATATCTATATGGGCCACAGCGTCCACTTACCATCAGGTGGACTGTGTGCTCGTTTGTCACCCTTATTCTATAAGAAAAAAAACATTCCGCCACGAAGCCGTCAAAAATAGTTCCGTCATTAATTAACTTGTGCTAATATTATGAATATATAATATAATATATACTTCATATTTATAATACAATTACGTGCACATTATTTATAACATCGTTTGTAATAATTTTTTTAAATAGATATTAGTATTCTTTTAGGTTTATGTGTACAAAAGTCTTCTGCGTCCCCACATCTCGGCGAATAAGTCGCGTAGAGCGCAAAACGAGTGAAGCGAACAGTGATCAAAATAATAGGAACGAATCTAAGCCTCTGAACGTGCCCGCTTTAAGAGAGGAGGGAGTTTCCTTGAGCTTTTCCATCGATAGAGGAGATTCGGGTATGTTTTTTAAAGATATTTTTATAAATATAACTCTTAAACTTGGTCCGGTCTCATATTCAGATGAGGTACTGATATGTTCTATATAGTACAGGATTGAATAAAGAATTTTGTTCGTTTTATTATCAGTCGTTGTCATCAAGATGAAATGGTTTAAATCCTGGATATTTTTGTTATTTTTTTTTCTTTTTTCTTTTATTTATTCTTTAATTGGAAGTTCTGCAGTTGCACCGTTAAGATTAGAACGCTGTGAAGGCTGAAGGAACCTTTTAAAAATCAAAGAATTAAAAAAAAATTAAATAAACTTATGAGAGTTTATTTAACTCGCTATATATATATATATATATATATATATATATATTGTTGATATCGTATAAATATCTAGAAATAATGTTTATTCGATTATTGGAGAAACATCGATTAAAATAAAATAACGCTAGTCGTGGAACCCGGATATTACCAGATTTTTTTAAGGTTAAGTGGTGTCAACTAAGAATAATTCTAAGCAGTATCAAACGTTTGCTTGTGCATCAATATTCCTTGGTGCCACCGATTTGATATTTCATATAACATTTCTATTTATAAGGTCAGTTTACAGAAATATTAACATAATGATCGCGCCATTGCCTCTTCCGACAACATAAACCACGTTTATTACGTATGTATTCGTACGCGCGTATGTTTATTTTAGTGTAATTAGAGTTTTCATAAAACCAGTTTTAATGGTTTTTAAAGCTCAGCAGATCTTAGGAGCTGGGCGCGAACGACATTTCGGACAACGAGAGTGCGCCTCCATCGATACCTACAACTGAAAGTGATCTCTAAAATTTCACGCGCTCCTGGTTTAAACGAAATTTAACTTGAAATGAGGAAACTTTGACAAATGAAAATATTCCTTGGTATTTTGAAGGTGCTAACTCCATCAGTTTGCTCTAGTGTAGTGTGGTGGATTTTCCCGTAGTTCGTGCGTTTGAGGTGGAACGTACGTACGCGGAGTTTTACAATTTAACTTTTCACTTAAAAAAAAAAAACTAAAAGGTAAAATAGGGAATGAAGTGTTTAGACGACTTAGCAGTTGTAACCTTGGGTTTGTTTAGTTAGTCTACTTAAAAAGGTGGATAAAATAAATTATTTTAAAGAGTGGAAACGCATGAACACATTCATACAACACATAACACACATACACTAACAAACTATACATTCATTACATACACACACACACACACACACACACACACGCACGCCCACGCCCACGCCCACGCGTACGCGCCCGCGCACGCCCACGCGCACGCGCACGCGCACAGACACACAGACACACAGACACACAAAGACACACAGACACACACAGACACACACAGACACACACAGAAACACAGACACACACACACAGACACACACAGACACACAGACACACACAGACACACACAGACACACACAGAAACACAGACACACAGACACACAGACACACACAGACACACACAGAAACACAGACACACAGACACACAGACACACAGAAACACAGACACACAGACACACAGACACGCACAGACACACACAGAAACACAGACACACAGAAACACAGACACACAGACATACACAGAAACACAGACACACAGACACACACAGACACGCACAGCACACACAACACACACAGACACACACAGACAACACACACAGACACACACAGAACACACAGACACACACAGACACACACAGACACACAGACACACAGACACACAGACACACAGAAACACAGACACACATACACACAGACAAACAGACACACACAGAAACACACACACACACACACACACACACACACACACACAGACACACAGACACACACAGACACACACAGACACGCACAGACACACACAGAAACACAGACACACAGAAACACAGACACACAGACACAGACACACAGACACACACAGAAACACACACACAGACCCACACAGTACACACACATACACACACAGACACACACATACACACACAGACACACACACAGACATACACACACAGACACACACAGACACACACAGACACACACAGAAACACAGACACACAGACACACAGACACACAGAAACACAGACACACATACACACAGACACACAGACACACACACACACAATTTTCTTCCAAATTTTCTTTTAATTATGTTGTTTACGCTCACTGTTAATTTTAGTCTAAGCGGTTCTTGCTTTAGTAAAGTGTATGACGAGGAAAAGGGGCTTCTGATATGGACGCATTTCGCGTTAAAAACAAGAAGTCTGTCATTGTATATGTACTTGTAAGATTGTGTTTATAAATAAAACTTTTTATTTTTTTATGATTTCTTATTTTAAAAATAATTTGATCTTTAATTCTTCGTCCAATGTATTAGCATCGACTTCAGAGGTTATTATGTTGAAGTTATTTAATTATTTTAGATATTTAAAGACGTTTCAAATTTTTATTAAAAGATTAATTTTGTTTAATATGTTTTGGTAATGATTTCTTATATTTACGCGAACAATATACATTGATTAAAACTACTTTTACGGATTTTATCGCGTTTTATTTATATTAATTTTAATGCCCGACGTTTCGGGTGCTTTCCAGCACCCATGGTCACGGGGGACTGAGGTGACTGACGTCCCGATGTCAAAGTTAACTCGGAGTACCTTCAGCTTTTTAATTATTGTTTTTGGTCCGATCTACGCAGAATGAACTAACTGTATTTTGAAGTCTTGCGGTGGTATGCTTGGGTTTAGTTTTAATTTTATTAATAATAGGATCCCAAGCAGGTGGTAGTACCCAGCCTCCTTCTCTATTGAAATTAGGATGTTTTTTAATTTCAATAGCCTCACGTATCATCCTTGGTGGGAATGGATGTTCTTTCGCGAGGATTTGTGGTCTATCAAATCTGATGTAATGGTTGGGGCCATCTAGAATATTGATGCTTCACGTCAGCTATGTGTTCTTTTACGCGGGTTCTAATTGATCTCTTTGTTTGCCCTATATATGAGAGATCACAATGACAATCAAGCTTGTACACTCCTGCATCTTGTAGAGGAATATGACACTTGATGGATGGTAAGAACTGACTAATCTACTTCGGCGGCTTGTAGAATGTTCTAATAGAAGCTCGCTTCAAGATGTAGCCAATCTTGTCTGTGATACCTCTGACATATGGTAGTATAGCAGGCACACGCTCGACTGTGGCCGGCTACACTCGGTCACTGTGATGGAGGCGCGGGACCCGAAGCTTGTTGTCGTGCAGAACCTGCTTGACGTACTAAAGCTCGGCGGCCAGGTGTTTGCTGTCACAGATCCCTCGTGCTCTCTGAAACAAAGATTTGCCCACGGTAGCTTACTGTGAAGGATGATGGTGAGATTAGATAGACCACAAATCCTCGCGAAAGAACATCGATTCCTACCAAGGATGATACGTGAGGCTATTGAAATTAAAAAAACATCCTAATTTCAATAGAGAAGGAGGCTAGGTACTACCACCTGCTTGGGATCCTATAATTAATAAAATTAAAACTAAACCCAAGCATACCACTGCAAGACTTCAAAATACAGTTAGATCATTCTGCGTAGATCGGACCAAAAACAATAATTAAAAAGTTGAAGGTACTCCGGGTTAACTTTGACATCGGGACGTCAGTCACCTCAGTCCCCCGTGACCATGGGTGCTGGAAAGCACCCGAAACGTCGGGTATTAAAATTAATATAAATAAAACGCGATAAAATCCGTAAAAGTAGTTTTAATTAATATGTTTTAGTTTGAAATTATTAAGCGTATTTGACTTACCTGACGTCCCTGGGTTTGCGGTTGGTAGCGCGGTTCAGTCTTGTTCTAAATTCATTGTATGAGAGTGTTGCATTGAGATATGTGGAAGGATTTGCTTGTCTCATCACACACTACAATAAAATTTACTTCTAAGAATTTTAAATTAACACCGTTTGCAGGTTTCTATGGGGAGCAGTCACCATACAGCAGCGTTGGCTCCTCATTTGATTACTATTCTATGCTTGATGAGTGGGACGGCAGTAGTACGCAAGATGAGCTAAGTTTTCAGTGTAAGTACCATTTTCGTGTCACAACGCTTAGTAAATAGAAGCGAGCAACACTAAAAACACCTTATATTAGCCATTTTCAATAATTTTTATAAACTTAAAAAAGGAGGAAGGAGGTATTAAATTTGACTGTATGTTTCTTTTTATGTGTGTTAACTCATAAATTTTCTTTGGGTGAGCCGATTTTGATGATTTTTTATAGGATAGGGTGACAAACGAGCACACAGGCCACAGCAACCACTTACCAGATGGTAAGTGGTTGCTGTGGCCATAGACATCTACATCTATCCTCGATTACGAATCAAAATGCAGATGCGTTGTTACCCGTTAGGACTAAGTTGGAATACCTCGTTTCCAGTAAAAAGGGTCTCCGGTTCTCTACACTTACCATACGAAACACAGCAGCATTAAGCTATTATTTCACGCCGGTATTCTGTGAGAGCGTGGTCCTTCCCCGGTTGAGCCGACCCATTCGTGCTACAACTATACTACTAATATAACTGCAGCATGGCTCGCTCTTCTTTTTTATCTGAAATCTTGTCGTCTTCTCGTGCGGTCCCATATAAATCAATCAAGATCTGAGCAGTAGTTTTTAAGTTATCTTTAATAACGCGTATTTAATTGACTTCGGGTACATTGATTCGGTCGTATTGAAGTTGGCTGTACAAAATTTTTAACTTTATCACTTGTTAGTCCACATTTGGACATACATAGGTCCATCCAAAAAGGCGTCGCTCTGTCACACAGTAAAACTCATTCATTTTGATAACAGTCTATCAAAGTCCTATTGAACATTGGCCTCCACTTAGATTGCCTCAAATGGGGGATATTTGCCATAGTTGCCACGCTTGGCATGCGGTTTGTCAACAGCAGTTTTTATTTTATAATTGTTATTATAAAAACGAACAAACCAGGAGACAGGCAGCAGGCACGTCTCCTGGTTTGTTCCCAATGTCACTTCTTATGACACTCAGGGGACACTGCCCTTCACGGTAAAATTATTTTGACGTATCTATTTTCTGTAATTTGTCGGTTATGTGAGCCTCGTACTTAGATTAGCAGGATGCAACGCGTGATATTTAAGTTTTGAAACATGTAAGTGCAGGAAGGGGCTGCATTTCCAAACATCTTTGCCTAGCTATTGTACTATATCAAACATATTGAAGGCGACCTTGGCCTATGAACGGTTGTCTAATTTTAAGACACTCAAAATGAAAGGAAGTCAGTTCCACGCCCCCTCATTTACCGTTTTAATAAGTAGATTGTAATGACTAAGTTGGATATAGTTCAACTTGTAGACAGAATCATGCTCTTTTCATTGATTGTTCTATTACTAATGCATTACACACACATACTATATCTGTGTGTGCGTGTATGTCTGCGTGTGCGTGTGCCTGAGCGTGTGCGTGTGCCTGTGCGTGTGCGTGAGCGTGAGCGTGTGTGTGCGTGTGTATGTGTGTGTATGTGTATATGTGTGTATATGTGTGTGTGTTTTATGTCGTTTTACGCTGGTTTTTCTTGAGAGCGTATTCCTTTCCCGATCGAGTGGACCCATTCGTACTTCAGCTATAATACAGTTTTTTTTTAAATTAAATGGAAGTGACAAACGAACTTCAGTCCGTCTGATAATAAGTGGCTACTGCAGGCCATGCGCACCTGTAGCCAACTTCAAATAAGCAAGGACAAATGCGTTGTTACTTCTGAGGACTAAGAAGGAATGCCTCACAGCCTATATAGGTACCCCTCAAAGCATAGTAGTGGAAGCACTGCCATTTAGCGGCAGAAATAGGTAAGAGGACGGTACCAACCCAGACGTACTTCAGGTATAGTTACTCTATTTCACGATGAAGGTTTCGCCTTGATTGTAGTAGTGACGTGTACAGACAGGCGTGTTTGTGTGTGTAACTGCGATTCGTTCGACATTCAGATGAAACTAAGAAATGTATTCAAAGAAAAGGCTTTCTCACTCTCACTAACATTAACATTTTAGAAATATCACTTTTTGTCAAACAGAATTGCAACTATTTTCAAATTAAATCTAAACTGAATTTCGTTCAATACGCAGTAAATATAAGTATAATTTATATACACCTACAATTAATAATTATATTTATTTTAAGAGCACCTTTCGCACAGGTATTAAAATATTTAATCACCAGCCAGAGTTGCCAAAATTTAAAATACACCTCAAGAAATGGTGAATACATAATGTTTATTATAATTTAAACGAATATTTTAATACCAAATAATTTATATCAAGGTTTTGTTTCTCAATTATTGCATATCTAATATGCGTGAACCGTGTAACTAATTGCATTGTCAGTACGAAAGTTATTACCGAGTAATCGGGGTTCGAAATCCCACCCTTCTTACAAATCAATTTTAATTTTTTTTATTTTCTTATATTTCCTTATTTTTTCTCGTTTAACATTGCTCAAGATGGCATTAAAATGCGATAAGTGTGAAAAGGATACTATTAGAGGGAATTCCATAATTTGCGAGAATTGCCAGAACTTCTATCACATAGAATGTACAAGCATAGGAGACCAAAGGTTCTACTTAATGGCTACAGAAAATAGAAAAAAAAAACTCAAATGCGATGGTTGTACATACAATAAAACACCAGCTCCTACTACAATACAGGTAAATATTCCTACTGAAAATTCTTTTCATTCTCTCAGTGACATAGACACGGAAACTTCACAAGAATCTATATACTATATTACTCAAAGAAAAAACAAAAACAGACGTCCAAAGAAAACCTGTCTACATCGTATTGGTCAAGAAACTCAAATAGTCTTCCAGATCTCAGTCAAATAATTACTAGTGATAATTTGCAAGTATTAAAATTGGAATTGATGAGATTGCAAACGGACAACATAGCTAACAATGAAATTAAAAACTTAAACGCAATAAATACAGAACTAATTAAGAAAGGAGCAAGAAAAATTATATAATTAAACAAAACTATAAATGTAGACGAATTAAATCCTAGTAAAGTTCTAACTAACCTATGTATGTCAACCCCGTTCGGTAATCAGCCTGAAAAAGTTAAGAGGTATCCCTCTTACAAAAAAGAATTTCCATTGCCAGAAGACTGTAATAAAAACACATTGCTACATACCCAATGCGAATAAAAGGGACTTCACCTCAAGAAATAACATAATCGATACTTCAAAGCCTATAAATTATACAGAGAAGCACACATTTAACACTAAGCCCAATATATGTATAATCAGCGGTATAAGTAACCACAAGCAATCTTCAATAATAAGAGACAACATGATGGAGCAGAGCGCCGCATACAGTCACTATCGCACACCAGGTGGCGACATAGACCAAATGTCACGTGGGTTGCAGAAGAAGCTAGCTAACTTCACTCTTAACGATTTTTGCATACTTATGAAGAGATACTGATTTTAAAGTATCCAAAAATTATAAAAATATTGTATATATCTTAAAGCAACGCATCCTGGCTGTACAACACACAAACATTATTATTTGTTTACCGACATATAAATATTGCTGTAATTCTAATCTCTTCAATAAAAGAATTGAACAATTCATTAATTTATTATACTCAGATAATAAAGTACACAAATACTGCTGTATACTGGACTCACAACAAATATTTAGAATATTCATATACTATGTTTTCGAAGTACTCAGGTAAAATAAATATAGATGGTGTTCGTATTATCTTGAACGACTTAAATAGATTAATGTCAAATATTGCAACAGAACAGTCAAACACATATACTGTTTTTAAAAGTACCTCTTGTCCTGTTAGTCCGGTGAAGGAAAGATTGACATGTTGTCGCTCCTTTCGTTCCTTCACAGGATATTAACAATAAACTAAATAATATGCAAGCAGAAACAGTTCTAACTTGTCTTAATACACTTCAACAGAATATTCAGGGCATGAGATCTAAACTCAGCCAGATAGAGGTTCTATTAACTATGGAAAAAATTGATGTCACGTGTATTACTGAGACTTCTTTTAAAGAACCAAGATGTTAAATTTTTACAAATTCCAGGCTATAAAGTTGCTGCTTCATATTGTAGAAGCGAGTCTAGAGGAGGGGTCTGTATTTATATTAAAAATAGTATAGATTTTATTTCACTTCCCTGTATAAATCAATTAAGCTTAGATAAACACCTTGAATGTTGTGGTATACTGTTGCCAGAATTAAATTATATTATTGTTTGCTGTTACAGAACTCCAGACTCAAGTTTTGAAATATTTATAAAAACATTGCACTGTATACAGAATTACTGTACGTTCAAGATATATGACTAAAAAAGTAATAATAGCTGGTGACTTTAATATCAATTTACTTGAAAATAATCTAAAATGTTCACTTTTTAAATATACTGTATTAAAATATAACTTAAAACTAACAATAAATGACCCAACTAGGATAACAACAAAATCGAAAACTTGCATAGACAATATTATAACAAATATAAAAGATTACAGCTCAAAAGTTTTACACTTAGGCTTATCCGATCACTCTGCATAGTACATAAACGTACCATGTAATCAAAGTTATATTGAAAAATATTGGTATGTACATAGAAGAAATGAAAATAAGTATTTAAATATCTTTTTAAAATATCCCTCTCAATTAAGTTTTTCTGATGTTTTCTCGTATCTTGATGTCAATCAGGCGTATAATATACGATCTTTGTATACCTGAACTCGTTCAAGAAAAAATGAAATTGGCAGACAGTTAGCATTAAAAGAACGTGCAAAACTTTAAAGTTACATCAGAAAATATTTGAATATAAGAAACAGGAATTAATACCGTATTATAATATATAAGAAATACTGCAAAAATTAAATCCGTTACACGTTTAGCAAAACAAAATTCAAATATAAAATTCATTAAAAATAGTAACAACAAAAATAAAGCTACATGACACTTAATAAAAAAGGCAGACCACTTCACAAAACACATTCAAAACAACTATTAAAAATGTGACTATTGATAATAATAATATCACGCATGCAAGTTCTATAGCTGAAGTATTTAACACTCATTTTGCTACCATCAACGCTCAAACACAAGCTACAGATACCTACTATCTACCTCCTACACATATAAATAGCTTATATTTATCACCCGTTGATACAAATGAATTGGAAAAAACAATAATGAAAAACACAAACAAAAAGTTGCGGCCACGACGACACATCGATCACAATTATTAAAAAATATATAGAGTATATTAATGAGCCTCTTGTTTATTTATTTAACTTAAAGTTAGAATCTGGTACCTTTCCAGATGAATTAAAAACAGCAAAAATAAAACCTTTGTTCATAAAAGGTTCAAAATGTAATGTCAAAGACTATAGGCCTATAAAATATTTGAAAGAGTCATCTACAATAGACTTATAGAGTTTTTCTATAAATATAGTATAATAAGTAAAAATCAATTTGGCTTTCAGAAAAATAAATCCACTACACTTGCGATCTATGAAATACTCAAGGAAATTTGGGAATCATTAAATAATAAAACTTCTTGTGTAGGTTTGTTTTTAGATATGTCAAGGACATTTGATTGTGTCATATATGATATACTTGACAAATTAGGCACGTAGGCTTGACATTAGAACTATTAAAAAGTTATTTAAAAGATAGAGTGCAAATAACAGCAATTGAAAAATTTGACAGTCAGTAAAACTTTTGAAGAAGTACGGTCCAAGCCAGTTAAAATGACACTAGGCTTGCCACAAGGAAGTATTTTGGGCCCTTTGTTATTCTTAATTTATGTGAATGACTTGCCAAATATCACTGACAAAAGATGTGTTATGTTCGCTGATGATGCAACTATCTTTATACCTGATACTCAAATGAATTTTGAGAATAATATAAATAAAACTTTAAAAATAACAGTGGAATGGCTTAAACAAATTAATTTAAACGTTAATCTAACAAAAAATAAAATGATTCAATTCAGAGATTACAAAACAAATTCTTTAAATTTAAATATTGCAGATAAAGTCAACCAAATAGAAATAGTTAATAACATTAAATTTATTGGAGTCACCATAGACTGTTATTTAAATTGGAAATCTCATATTAAAAAATAAACAAAAAAATCTCTAGCTACAGTTACGCATTATCCATATTAGTAGAAACAACCTCCGTTGATGTATCAAGGGCTGCATACTGCGGCCAGGTATACCCTCTATTAGTTTACGGTATTATTTTCTGGGGTAATTCTACAAAAGTGCAGTCAACATTTGTTCTGCGAAAACGATGTCTGCGGATCATTTATAATATGTACTCAGATGAAACTCTAAGAAATGTATTCGAAGAAAAAGGCATTTTCACTCTCACTAATATTTATATTTTAGAAATATCACTTTTTATCAAACAGAATGGCAACTATTTTCAGATTAAATATAACGGGAATTCACGTCCAATACGCACTAAATATAAGTATAATTTATGTACACTTACAATAAATAATTATATGTATTAAAATATTTAATCATCTGCCACCTCATATAAAAGCCATGGACTTGCCAAAATTTAAAATATAACTAAAAAATGGTTTTTATAATTTAAATGAATATTTTAATACCAAATAATTTAAATTAAGTTTTGTTTTTTAATTATTGCATACCCGATATGGGTAAAACGTGTAACATTTAATTGAAATGTCACCCGCAAATTGTACATACACAGTTTATTGGCAATAAAAATATTCTGATTCTGATTCTATGTAATACACTATTCTTAAGTATGACAACTTCTTTACGTACGTAAAGTCCAATCTCGCTGGCAGATGATATCATAGAGACCCGTAACTGTTGTTAATTAAAGTGGAAGTTATAATGGTCAATGACCAGTCATGTTTTTTTTTGGATTTGTATATTATTATTAAAAAGAATTAAATATAGCTTTTAATGTACCTGTTGGACATAACTTGTGGCAGTGCGCTATACCATAGGTTTTATGTAACTTGATCGAATTGGGTAAGCAACTCCATGTCTGAGCGTATATTTCACATTGTTCTTTTACGACACTTTTAGTAAACTGGTTAGCATATATCCTGTACGTGGTAAGAGAAAATGACAGGTTACTATATAAGTACATTTTACCTATTCATAGTTTGTTTCGACTTATCCTACGACTTACTTTGTGGTGAGTCCCACTTAGCTGCTTACTACCTCACACTGCCAAATAGAGTGTGCACTGCAATGTTTCGGGCTGACGGTTATAGTTAAAGTTAAAATTACAGTCTACATATACGTCCCACTGCTGGGCCCAGACCTTTCATTTCTGACAGGGTTTACGGGACGGGTATAGACAACCAGTATAATTACCAGCTGTAAGGCATTATATCTTAGTCCTCAGAGGTGATAACGCACCTGTAGCCTTTTCAATGTGAAGTTAGTTGCAAGTGTTCATGGGCTGCAGCATCCAATTACCATCAGGTGGTGTAAGTTCTTTTTTATGACAAAAATATACAAAAATTTTACATTATTTTATCATTTTACATGGTAGTCATACTACAGCTATATTAGTAGTATAGTTGTATCACGAATGGGTCGACCGGGGAATGACCACGATCTCACAGAATACCAGCGTAAAATGGCAGCTTAACGCTGCTGCGTTTCGTATGGTGAGTGTAGAGAATCGCAGACCCTTTTTACTGGAAAGGAGGCATTCCATCTTAATCCTCACGGGTAAAAACGCATTTGCAATTTGATTCGTAATCGAGGATAGATGTAGATGTCTATGAGCCACATCAGGTGGACTGTGTGCTCGTTTGTCCACCCTTTATGCTATGTTCTCGTCACACTCATCATAATATTGTTACTGTTTATACCTTCATATGTTAAAACATGGGTGATCAAAGTTTGCGCCGTGGATTTGGCAATTGATGATAAGCCGTTATCAAGTCGTCGAATATAATTTGTATATAATAGCAAAAAACCGTTATTTCTCTACCAGTACCGCCCGGACGTAAGCTCAGTATATCGAGCAGAGGAAGTTGGCAGCGCAGAACCTTCCAGAGCTTGGCGACTCGATTCGAACTCGGCCAAAGTTCGAATCTTTTGAACGTGCCTACATCAATCAGTACCGTCGCCAGCTCCGATTCACAGGTAAAGTTGTTTTTTTCTCCGTTAATACACAGTATTTAATAATTATAATTTTTTCCAAAGAAGTTTCAGATGTTATGATGCTACATTTTATTTGTGACGTTTACAAGAACTAGGTATTATTTTTTTTTTTTGTAAAATTTTGGGTTGTTATATATATTTTTTGAATAAACATAAATTGATTTGTTTGCAACCTTCCGCTAACTAAATACAATGATGTGTCTTACCTGGATTGAAGAGCAATAGCTGGAATAGTGGTGTTGGAAGTAGTGGTGTTGGAAGTAGTGGTGTTGGGAGTAGTGGTGCTGGAAGTAGTGGTGGTGGGAGTAGTGGTGCTGGGACTAGTTGTGACGGAATTAGTGCACGCAATTGAGGGAGGGCGGGGGAGGTGGTCTTCAATCCAGGTAAGACAAATCATTGTATTTAGTTAGCGGAAGGTTGCAAATTAATCAATATCTTTAATATAATGGATTTCCGCAAAGTAACGCCTGATTCTATCAACTATGTTTTTTGAATTCAAGAGCCGTTCGTAATGTGAACAAACTCCGATATTTTCATCCATTAAATGTAGTGTCTTCAAAGTAAGATGAATACACGTTTCTCTGTAAAAAAGCCCCCCCCTCAAGAGCCAGAGGGAAATTGAAACAGGAGATGGGCAGCTGCATATTCCTCCTGATAACAATTCAAAAGAATTAAAACTGCGGTTGACATCTCGCTCGCCATGCGTGTCAACTATGGCAAAATCCCCTCTATGAGGCAATCAATGGGAGGCTTATGTTCAACAGTGGACTCTTACAGGCTGTGATGATGATGATGATGAAGCGGAGTCAGTGCGCTATATCATCTTCGTCTACATTACAACACAGCATTGGATGTGAAAGTAGTCAAGTACTGGCTTAGAATAGGTATAAAAGCAGCGCGTTGATGGTAAACCATTTATCGTTACTTTTTGCGTTTTTTTATTTCTTATTTTGAATAAAAAATGTTACCATCACATTAGGATCTAATTCTAATTAAAATCTTATACCTATCTATTTTACGGATTGCACATGGACAAACATCCAGACCCGGAACAATTATTTAAAGGCTATACAAACACTTGCTTCGTCCGGGACTTGAACCTGAAACAACCCTACAACCAAACGCTTAGCCAATGCGCTATCGAGCCGTCTGGTCTGGTTATATAGTAAATAAAAAAAAAAAAAAAAAAAAATAAAAAGAAAAAAAAAATAACCCAAACAAAAAAAGAAAAAAGAGAAAAAAAAAAAAAAAAAAAAACCTTTGTTATCGTAGCATCTCCACATATTGGAACATATAATCACTGCAATTAGGGGAGTGCTTTTTTATTGTTCGCTGTTTTCGGTATAGTATAAAATTCAGATTATCGTTATACAAAATGAAAGTGATGCAATGACTTCATAGTACGCAAATTATGAGATAGCTATACCGAGCACACGCTCGGAAAAAAACTAAGTAAGCGCCAAACAACATTTTAATTTTTTTTTAACAAAACTACGTTATGGGTTAAAAATGGTTTATGTGAACTTAGATATGATTATTTACTATGCCTTAAAATATTTCCATGAACTAATTAGTAAAATAATTTTCATGAAGAAATGTAATTCTAGTCTACTTTGCAATTTTTTTCTATCAAGAAAATTACACGACATCGTGTTTTCCTTTTTTGCAATCCAAGGTCATATAGTCAAAAATCATATACTAAAATTTTGGTTTGTAATCTATAATGCTTAAAAAAATATGTGAAATAGAAAAACCACCATATTTTCGAGGTATCACCTTAAGACATTCGGGCTACTAATACCCAACTCAATTTCTTCCATTGATTTAATATTAATATTATTTATATAACATTAAAATCTCGGTCGTGAAAACTGTAAAAAAATGTTTACGGTCGCAACTAGCGCCTGGTTTATTTATAATACCACCGGATTATATCACGCGGCAATAAAGTTGGTTAACAACGTATTATCGCTATTCAGAAGCGCGTGATACATCACATGAGTGGCCGAAACTATCGTTCAGTCATGTGAGCGGTTATCAAAAGTAGTGTAAAACCATCTACGTAAACGATTGCAAACACTTAGTGCGTAACTGTTAATTATCGAGCCTCAATAATTATCCTTCGCTACGGTTGTCGTTGAGAATTTGGACGGATGAGGCGAATGTGTGAAAAAACTTGTTTGTCCGTGATGTATTGGTAATGGTATTCTTACGGTTGTAGTTTTGCAAGTGTCAAGTAATAGGAAGTTAATCCTTTATAATTTGTTGACAAACATCCCCACTTATTTTGATCTATTACTTTGCGAAGTATTTGGGAGATTTTATCGACAGCTTGATGCCAGATGATCTGAAGTTCTTAAAGCGTCTAAGGAGATGAAATAACCGAAGTTTGATATCAACAACGGAACACTTGTTTCGCTACTTTTCTTAATAGTTCAAATGTGGATACACTTGGTACACAAAATCGTGTAATTTTTACGTATCAAAATTCACTTTAAGCTATTATGTAAACGATAAAACTGGGGCGAAATTCCGTCATTAATCAAGTTCCCACCAAAAAGTCAACAACTAACCATACTCTTAGGTTTTGTTAAGTATAGATGTATAACTGTATGTATCCCGTAGGGACCGTATGACGCGAATATAGAAAGTGACAGAAATATTTAGGCGCATGCGATATATCCACATAAAAAACTGCAGTTGTAACTTGTAACCTATTTACGTCCCGCTGGACGCAAGCCTCATTTAATTTCTTAGACGATTTTTAAAGCATTTGATAGAATCAGGCGTTACTTTGCGGAAATCCATTATAATAAAGGTATAAATTAATTTGTAACCTTCCGCTATCCAATTACAATGATACAAACAAGTGGTAAAATTAAAAAATATTGTACAACCGACTTCAATATAAATAAAATGAGAACATCATCAATGTAGTCGAAGTTAATTAAATACGCATATGGATAATTTAAAAACTACTGGTCAGATTTTGATCATGGGACCACACGAGAAGCATCAGCTTTAAAAAAAAAAAGGAATCATCAAAATCGGTTCACTTAGAAAAACGAAAAAATACATTCTGTTCCCCTTTGTCGGTTATAAAGAGCGATCCGCACCATATTACGTATTGCTGGTGCTGAAAAATGCCATCTAGCAACTTTGGACTCAATGGAAAGGCGTGCTAAGAGGCTTATTGGTAAACCAAACTTGGTTAAAACCAATCATACCAGCCTCGAACACAGGCCCAAATTAGCCAGCCTTTCGGTTTTCTACATGCATTTCGGAGAGTGTGCGTAAGAATTGCATAAATTAATTCCTTCATCTCCCTTCCACCATCAGACAACCAGACGTTCGGCCAGTCCCCACCCTTTCGTTGTTGATTTATCACGCATTCGAAACAAACGGTTTGCTACGTCGTTCATCATGCGTACTGTACATCCGATTACAGTGTGGGTGTCTTCAAGGCAAGAGTGAATAGGCTTTTGTTAGGGCAGTGCGCTTCACCGTCTTAGGCTACGTCACCACTTACCATCAGGTTGAGTTGAAGTTAAGCGCTGACTTAGAATAATAAAAAAAGGCTGTGAAAGGAATTTTGACGATATGTGGTATTCAGATAGCTGCAAACATTAAGAAGGCTAGGCTACCTTTTATCCTCAAAATTTACTGCAGAGAACGCTGTATGACCGACTTTCACGCGTACGAAAGCTAGTATTTATATAATTTTTTAAATTATATAAATACTAGCTAGCATTTATATAATTCTTTAAATTATATAAATTATATAAATACTAGCTAGTATTTATATAATTCTTTAAATTATATAAATACTAGCTAGTATTTCTTTATTTTTTGTTGCCTTTAAAATGAGTTAACCTGTTTGCCTGCGTTGTTTAAAATCCACAAATTGCAACACCAAAAAGTAACTAAAATTATTATTGATCTATTAAGAAAGTGGTACTTACTTCGTTTAATAATAATAAAATAGTATTTATGGTATAATAAAATTTATTTAAAAAAATATGTTATAGTTATCATTAAAAGATCTAGTAGACTTTAGCCAACTTTTATATTTGCCGAAAATTTTCAAAGCACATTTTGATATTTTCTATAGATTAATTTTAAAAGTTCTTTCATTAACCTCAGAAAAAAAATTTGTTTAACAATTGTCGTTTCATCACTGGAAATGATTAGGGCTGATGAAATGAGAAGAAATGGCCATACCTACAGATCGATTGCCTCAAGGCTTCGTCGACCAGTATCAACGATTCATCGCAGCATCCAGCGGTACAGATCGTCTAATTCTCTTGTGAGGAGGAGGGGTCAAGGTAGAAAAAGATGTACATCGAGGCGAGATGACAGTTTTTTACAACTTGGAGTTCGTAGGAATACGCGATTAACGGCTGTACAAGCTCGAAATGAACTGGAAGACGTTCGAAGAGTACGAGTAAGTGAGCGTACAGTTCGCAGGAGATTTGAAGAAGTTGGTTTAGGGTCGTATATACCTGCCAAAGGCCCAAAACTTGAGAGACGTCACCACGTAAACCGATTAAGCTATGCGCGAGAACATCGTCATTGGGATTTGAACGAATGGCAGCAGGTTCTCTTTACTGATGAGTACAGAGTTCTTTTAAAACAGATCGATGGGAGACAGCGAATATGGAGACGCAAAGGAGAACGCCACATACAGTCTAATTTTGAACACACAGTGGCTTATGATGGCGGTTCGATTATGGTTTGGGGAGGGATATGTTTGGGAGCTCGTACGGAGTTAGTGATAGTCACAGGAGGGACCATGACAGCAGATCGATACATCAGAGACATTTTAGAAGAACATGTTGTACCATTTGCCCCATTTATTGGTGACGACTTTATTCTAATGCAAGATAATGCTCGTGCTCATAGTGCACAATCGGTACAGGCATATCTGAGCCACGTAGATATACCGGTGATGCAGTGGCCAGCAAATTCCCCCGATATGAATCCGGTAGAGCATGTCTGGGACTTGCTAAAAAGAAGGGTTAAATCCAGAATGCCACCCCCCAACAATCTTAATGAACTTGGAAACGCATTACTTGAGGAGTGGGAGCGGTTGCCTCAAGAAATCATCGATAACATAATCTGTAGCATGCTCAGACGAATGGAAACCGTAATCAGAGCAAGAGGGGGAAACACTCGTTATTAATCTTGCTTTAATTTTATTGTTAAATCATTTAATGCTTACTTTTTTTTATTTTTTGTGATGGTTCATAATCATCTAAAAATTTCACTTATTTCAAATTTCTTTATTTTTCAATAAAAAATAACGAAGACTTTTCAAAGTCGTTGTTAAAAGATGTTAATCAATTTGTTATTTTGTGTCTAATTACATTTTCGTCAAATATATGCGTTATTATCTCATAGTCTCACTTTTTTTTTTCTGTTCCGCTAATTGTGGCGGTGTGTATAGTATTATATGCTGGTAAACTTAATTTTTAAGTGCAAAAATTCTCTAAATAAAATCCTAACTCCATTGCGAGTATAAGGGTATCCATAGAAAAAATTTGCACATTTTGTGTTTTGTAAAATCGGGTAAATATTGCTTGTTATATTTTGAGAAATGAGCTAGTCGTGATTGGGAGTAGATAAATTAATTTCATTTGTATGCATATTTTTTATATTATGTTTAAAAATGTTTGCATTTATTGTTACCAGTTATACAGCAATAGTACAACGAGCGGCACAAGTGATAGTTTACTAAGCACATGTTCTGCAGTGGCGCCGAGGAGAAACAAGCTGGGCCTAGCGTTGTTGGTCACTGTACCTGATTCCACTGATATGTAAGTCTGTTTATAAAAAAAAGCAGAAGCCCGGTTGTTGTTAATTGTAGTTTATATGCCGGCGTAAGAAAATCCACTTCCCATATCATTCCCTGGATATCGTAACAGGTGGCAGAAGGAAATTAAGCAGGAGACAAGAAGCAACATGTTCCTGGCTGCAATCAAATTAGTAAAAAACTTGGTAACGCGCCTGCCAAGTGTGACGTCTACGGGAAATCAACAGTGTTCATCAGAAACTTTAAAAGCTACAGCCTATATACGTTCCACTGCTGGGCGTAGGCCTCCTCTCATTTCCATCTCAGGTTTTAGGGCAAGGAAAGTGATGATCCACTGTCATATTTTTTTGTCTTATTTCTCAGACATGCAGGTTTCCTCACAGTGTTTCCCTTCACTAAATCAGCACTTAAAATTCTAATTACAGACTTTTAAAAGCTATATAATTTATTATATATAGTATATGTTATAATATATGTATAATGTTTTATAATTATAATATATACATACATACATATATACACACATATATATATATATATATATATATATATATATATATATATATATATATATATATATATATATATATATATCGCTAATAAAATGCTGCTACTAAGCTCTTAAATCCTTTAAAGTTTTGAGAAGAATATGTTTATTGATTGGCCCTTACATAATAATTATTGTTTTCCTTAAATCAAAGTTTCTACTGTTACTAAATTAATAATTTCACTGCCCCATGCAATGATTGTTTAACTATCTTTTTCGCTGACAGGAAAATTAAATAAATAAAAAGGAAATAAACAAAATGTTCAGTAACATTTTTGACACAAACCGTCTTTCTTGAACCTGGGACCAGTTCCAAACTGGCCTTTATTCTTAACATTACTTATTTTAGTCTCACGTTTAAACAAAATCTCTTTCACAAAGGAAGTTCTGCGGACGAACTAAAATTTAATGCATGAAATTTGACAGCTAGTGTCAAATTTCGCGAAGAATGTTGCCGTGGCTAAGGGACTTCCTTATTTAGTAATTTTCTCAAACTATAGTTTAAGCCCGAGACTATAAACCACGTTACGTAATAAGACGGAACAAACCTATCGCGCTAATATATAACAATTTGTTAAGTTAATAACTTGTTTTATTGAGCTATTTGTTTTATTTTATTACCAATAAACAAATTAGTGAAATGTACTTGACGATAAAGTAAAATTATCTTTGTTTAGATTGTACAGTTTTATTTGTTTACTTCGTGGAATATTTTACGGAAATATAATTTGTATTTAATTCTATTAATAATATTAAAAGTAAAGTTTATTGTTTAGCCTATATACGTCCCACTGCTGGGCACAGGCCTCCCCTCATTTCTGAGAGGGTTTTAAGGCAAGGAAGTGTCCGCTGCTTACGTTGCCCCAATGCGTGTTGGCGAACTTCACACGTCTACGAAATATTTTTTCTTATTTCTCAGACATGCAGGTTTCCTCACGTTGTTTTCCTTCACCGCCGAGCACGTGGTAAATCAGCACTTAAAATTGCAATTAACAATGTCATTGGTGCCGGTGGGGATCAAACCCGGGTTAATCGCGTTCTGTTATATTTACAGAGATATTTAGAGCTGTGGTAGCTCAGATGGTTAACGCTAGCTGTAAATAATAAAAGTAAAAGAAAATAATTTAAATGTGAAAAGAATATTAAATATAAAATCCAGGAGTAAAAATGAGAGGGTGTGTATTACCTAGTTTGAAGAATTTTTTAAAAGGCGTTAGAGCCAATCGCAGTATTCTCAAATCAGTTGGAGTTTATTTGTTCTATTTCAAAGTTAATATAAAATTTGATTAGTTTAAATAAGATGTTTAATTTGACTATAAGAAACCGGACATTTATTTGTTTTATATACTTCTTTTTTCTTGCAAAAAGTTCGTTTTGACAATACCACAAAACATTTTCGTTTACAGGAATTTTATACGGCGTTGCTTAGAACACTCCCCCCAGTTACAAGCACTAGTTTGTAGGTTAAGATTGGCAACATTGGCTGCCGGTTTGGGCGGAAACTTCGTTTCGACTTTGTACAAAGCGGGAGCTGATGCTGCCAGATGGTGAGTGAACGTTTTTTTTGTTTATACGTGTTGTTTTTTTCGTGATTCAAGTATTGTAGCAACATGTTCTGGTATAAAAAATTATTTAACTTATGTTGTTATAAATATATGAGAAGGTGCCTCAGAAAACAATTTGCGGCGGCGCTGTCGTCGCGCCGTAAGCGAAATACACCGAAGCCAAAATCACGCTATCAAAATTCCGAATCATAAACAGTATATATAGAACATCTCCGAACTATCACATGGAGTGTTGGCCACTTCCCGGGCAGAACACCTCGCCCGGCGGGATATCTCCCCTTTTCCTAACATGGCCACAGTGGGGTGACCCCGATGTGATTTGAACACGCAACCTTCTGATGTGGCGACGCTGTCGTCACGACGCAAGCGAAACACACCGAAGCCTAAATCACGCTATCAAAATTCCGAATCATAAACATATATAGAACATCTCCTAACTATCACGCGGAGTGTTGGGCGCTCCACTGTGGGCGTGTAAGGAAAAGGGGAGATCTCCCGCCGGGCAAGGTGTTCTGCCCGGGGAGCGGCCATCACTCCGTGTGATTAGGTCGGAGATGTTCTATATATACTGTTTATGATTCTGAATTTTGATAGCGTGATTTAGGCTTCGGTGTGTTTCGCTTGCGGTGCGACGACAGCGCCGCCACAAATTAAAACCGTTGATCCTGCACCTGATCTCTCCGGTTGTGTTGAGAATGCCGTCCAATCTGACTGAATGAGAAAAGAGAGAGTGCATTGGTGCACTTGGCTGGTGAGAGTGGCCGTCGTGACGAAAATTTGGTCTGGAGGACATTACATTATTTTGTGCGCTCACTAAAACCCTACATCTTTCTACCCTATGCCAACACGCTAGTTGGTGCGATCTTAAGAGTGTCTACATCCAGCAGTTTTTAAAAGGTGATGGTAATGAGGAAAACAGAGAATGTAGCAAGTTATTTTACCTTGTTTAAGGTTATCAGACCTCATTTACGGGCCACGCCTACAGTCTGCGTGGTTAAGTCTAGTCACAAGCGATCCGCGCTCCTCCAACAAGCAATCCGAGTCCTTGCTGTCGGATCTTTGCGCCGTATTAGCAGCAGGCGACACTAAACACACAAACTTGTGAGTAATTTGTTGTCTATTTTCTTAGAATTATATAATTATACCTTAATATTTTTACTTCAACATCAATGAACATGCAGAAAGTCAACTACTGGTCGTGGACTTCTCCCGTTAAATGGTAGGCGTTTCTTCTCCCGTTAATTCGTTCGTGGTGTTCCACCTTTGACGCTCCTTACTCCCCATGAAGAGGTATAAAGAGACGGGCCCAAGTCTCCGGCGGCCCCGCTATTCCTAGCTACGGTGGGGAAGCAAAAGGGAAAGCAAGTACCGGTAGGCGAAGTGTAGGGCCAACCCCCAACATGTTATAGTGACGACCTGGTAAGACATGCAGGAAGTCGATGGATGCAGGCGGCTCAGGGCCGTGCTTTGTGGCATTACTTGGGGGAGGCCTATGCTTTAGCAAAGGACTTGTGAAGGGCTGTAATGATGATACCACTATATACAAGAGTGAGATAGCGAGTTTTAGAGTTAGTTTAGTTCGGGGTTTTGCATAGGTCTCAGATCCGGCTGGGATTACCTAGGACGTCAGGCATTCTGACAAAAGACCACGTGGCGGTACGTACACATTACGCTTATCCGTATGCTCAAACAGTTTCTTTTTATCTGTACTCTGTATTTGTTTCTTAAATACATTAAAGTTTGCTGCAAAGCAGTAATAGGAAAAGTGCCAAATTTTTTTGGTACATACATTTATCTGTTGTGATGACAGAGTGTGATTTGTGATCCCATTCCTTACGTTTTATGAAATAAGTTGATTATTGTAGACAGCATGCGTATGTACTGTTTGTTTGCCAGGCACCATTGATCAAAGTATGATTTTTTATTGGGACAAAATTAAAGACTTGTCGAGTCTATGTCTTAAAAATTTCTTGTCAGAAATAATAAAAATTGAAACTGGTCTTAATCGGAGCTTAAATACCCTGTGGTATTTAATAGTAGTGGTAGACCAAGTACTAAGTGCACGCTGTAAATTTCACAATACGCGAGCAAACCGTTCAATCCTCACTATTACCGACGAAATTGTTAACTGCAATTTTCAGTGTTTTTAACACATTCTCTGGTGAATTTCATATATATATATATATATATATATATATATATATATATATATATATATATATATATAGCTTGTCAGGCAGACGTTGTTCTGCCCTTTTCGACGACTCTGTCATGTCCTATTAAAAATACTTAAATTCACAAAAAAAATTGTGGGTCACTCATGGGCAAAAAACTATTCTATCTCTCAAGTTGGACCAAACTGCACGCGGTGTATAAATTTGATTAAAATCGGTTAAGTAGTTTAGGAGTCCATCGCGGACAAACAACGTGACACGTAATTTATATATATAAAAAATATATATATATATATATATATATATATATATATATATATGAAAGAAAACAGCGATGTCAAACCTGCATGTCTGAGATATTTAATATTTTATCTGTTTGGACACATACATTAGTATGCACATGTTACTTTTTATATTATAACTATATAGTTGGTGCCCGGCGCGTTGCTGCCGCAGAAGAAATAATTGTAAATATTGTTTCATAAGGAATTACATATTATAATACATTAATTGAGTTGAATTATATAAAACTTTTTAATAAACTAGCTGTTCTCCGCGACTTCACCCGCGTGTAATTTAGGGTTTCATTTTTGTGCGTGGAACATCGGTTTTTTTTATAAAATAAAAGTAGCCTAAGCCTCCTTATAACATCAGCTTTCTGCCAGTGAAAGCCCCGTCAAAACCGGTCCAGCCGTTTCGGAGATTAGCCGGAACAAACAGACAGACAAACATTTTTAAAATTGTGTTTTGTTAGAAGTACCTCATATAATTTCATATGCATTTAGTGTGCTTTATATATTAGATTAGATTTTAACAATTTCCTTGTCCGCGATAAGTAGATAAACAAACGAAATTTTCACATATGACTCACGGGACAATGAAATTTTCATATTCTTGGCAAATATATTGAATATGTACAGTAAACCTAAACTTGTATACTGACGTAACTGTAAACAATCTAAACTTGTATATTAACGTAATTCATAACTCCTTGAGGTGCCCTTCCATGATGCATATTTTGTTCGGCAATGATGAAGTCATCTGTCATCGTTTACACACCACACGTCTTGCTAAGTGGGTACTTTCTGATTCTATATGTACATACAAAATGTGTTAGAGAGTAGTTGAAACATTTTGCCTACGTTCATTCAAATATATTTTTAAAATATCACACGTTTGATAAACGAGAGCATGAACTCACACGTCAGAGCGTACTTGTATTACGCGTTAAGTTACGACGGATTTTTTTTAAAATGATAAAATGTATTGTGGAGTAGTGGGTTGTGTAAGAAATAATTGTTCACCCCATTTCATAGTATGGATGCCGTGAAAAACGACTATGAAAATGCAAGAAAGATCTCAGAGACTCGACTTTATTTTAAATAGATGGCGATAGATGGCGGTGTCCATTCATTTACGCCAGACTTAATCTATTAAACCGGTGACGAGAAGCAGCAGCACTGAAATCGCCAATCCACTATTAATTGTGGCGATTAAGCCAAATCATACCTACGATGAGAGAGCCCTTGTCTAACTTGGACTAATGGAGAAGAAAATATTAAATTAAAAGAGGATCGCATTTTATTGGTCTCATTCCCTAAAATTGTCTTTTTGGAAAGAACCTCACTGGTAGCAATATTTTACTGTTTATGTTCAAGTTACTATTTTTAGATATTTAGCTTGAAATTATTCTTTATTTAGTAAGAAATGAGGTGAGTATACCGCCATTTATAGGAGTGAGTATACCGCTATCTATCGGAGGTTAAGATTTCTTTTTTAAATTTTCCAAAGGAGGAGGTATATGTTCAGCACTGGACTTATAAAGGCTGTTGTCGAAAATGACACAATTGAAAGATTTAAAATAACATTCATTACGACTGTCAAATTTTTTATTTGTCTGAAAATACTCAGTAGAAAACAAAAGTATAATGGCATTTATAAGTGATATTCTATATTGAGATTTGATAATAACAAAAACATATATGTGTTCTAAAAGTTTACGTGACACGGGGGGTGGTGGGGGTATGGTAAAAACATTTTTTTTGTTACATACTCTTATATTACCAGTTAGATAACTTTTTTATTGCGTTTGTTTGTAAGGAATCTGTGCATTTTGACTAATCGAGAAAATGTGTGTATAAATATCTTCTTTAGGGTTCTATCAGACAGGAAGCGGTCACGCGTTCAAGCGTTCCGCGTTCGCGTTTTGCGTTCGAGCGTTCAGTTGCTCTTACGAATCACGAACGCCTATGTTCTGGTTGACCGACGCGGTCGGAATGCCTGCTGTCTGGGTAAAAAGTTAATGTAAAGTAAAGTTACAGCTTATATACGTCCCACTGCTGGGCTCAGGCCTCCCCTCATTTCTGAGAGGGTTTAGGGCAAGGAAGTGTCCGCCGCGCTGCCCAAATGCGTGTTGACGAACTTCACATGTCATCGAAATATTTTTTTTCTTATTCCTCAGACATGCAGGTTTCCTCACGATGTTTTCCTTCACCGCCGAGCACGTGGTAAATCAGCACTTAAAATTGCAATTAACAATTTCATTGGTGCCGGCGGGGATCGAACCCGGGTTACTCACGTTCTGTTATATTTACAGCGAGCGTTAACCTCTGAGCTACCACGGCTGTCTGGGTATGTTTATGTAACGTAATACAACACAATGAACGCAGAACGTGAACGCGGAACGCTTGAACGACTTCTGTCTGATAAGTCCCTTAGGTTTCGGCTGTCAAATAAAAAACCTTAAAACCTAACAATTTAACCTAACAACCTAACCTAAAAATATACGATACATAAGCAATTGTTTATTTTAATTTTATTTAACAAGTACACTTACAATAAACATATATGATAATCACAAAAACATACACATTTCTATACTCTCTGATATGTATATCTATAACAAGTGTACATAACATTCACAAATTGAGTCGTGCAATTTTGGGTTAATTTTGAGTACAAATATCATCCGATCAATACAATGAAGTTTGAACTATTCAAATAAATTATGTACTTACGAAAAATCTAAAGATAAAAAACAGGTTTAATTATTAAAAGGGAATATTGTAGATATTATACTTTCTTCAGCAGTATGTATATTTTTAATTTAAGTATAAGATATATTATATTGAAGATGTAATTTATATCAGGAACTCAATTGTTATTAATATAATACAACACACTAATCTTTTTATATCTTTCTTATATATAAAAATTTATTACTAATTTTGATGGATTTTTTGTGTGTATTTGAGTGGGTTCCTGGTTGGTTTGAAAAACTCAATTGGACCCGGTAGGTGGCGCTGTAGTTGTGATACAGAAATCACCCGTGCGAAGCTGGGCTGATCTTTAGTGATAAATAAAAATTTCTTTATACATCTGATTAAGCAGCGGTCTGTGAGAGAAACAGACATTATGTTCCTGTTAACAAGGGCCAGAACGAAGTAAGAAGTTTGCTATTTTGAAAACGTAAAAATAAATATAAAGATGCTGAGCCGCCAAAGTCGTAAATAATATTTCACTTTATGATTCGTTAATCTAATACAATTAATCTCAACCAAAAGATATGAGATTTACTTTTTTTTTTGGACCGTATCCAACGCAGTCGAGCGATTAATGAGTTTGCGGAATAAAAAATGACACTTGTCTTTCGTACGTTTATTTTCGTTTCTATTTGCTCGATAGTTACGAAAGATGTGTGAATGAAGCCGGGTAAATGTAACACATCTACATTTAGCTCAAATATTTTCGTGAGTTATATTTAAATGGGATGTTTACGTATTTTCACGTGATTACCTCACCTTTTGTGTGGATTGACGCTTACGAAGTTTGCTAATGTGTACAACTAATTTGGTCAGATGGAAATAATAGTATGAATTTTCAGTGTCATTATTGAAGTGAAAACTTTTTTAGAATCGTTGTGATTTGAAAC